ATGTTGCAATGTCTTTATTTCTAAACTTGTTTATTTGTTGAGCCAAAATGGTAGCAACACCTATTTTCATCTTTTTCAGATTTAAAGCTTAAAAGTTTTCCTTGCTTTGTGTTTTTGGGACAGACAGAGCTCTGTTATATTCTCAGAACATACTGTATGTTTGTGTGCGTGACTCCAAACTCTAATGAGCAGATAAGAGCTGCTTTCTGGCCATCCAGGCATTCCTTTTCCTCTCTGCAGGCCAACAGAAACACTCTTCTTCCTTAGATTGTAGACCCTCAGATTAAAAAACACTGCAACCAAAAACATCCTGCAAAAACCATTATATTGCACTTTATAAGCCCTCTGACAACTTTGCAGGTGGCGAGACAATATTAATGAATAACATCATGACTTCACTTTGTTTCTGTCTCTGTACTGTTGTTCATCTTGGAGATAAAAGGCTTTCCAGTAAACAATAGAAAGTCACAAAACCTTCAACCGCACGTTCTGGCAGTAAACATAAATGGGACGGCCCCTGTTTATGGCTGTCTTCGTTTTACTGGAATGAACTGCATGTATGTCACTGAATAAATGATTCAGAAATTGCTTATCTGTGTTACTAGTAGTATGAGTCGTTTATGATGGAAAATGGTCACACAGAAAAGTTCACAAATGCATTTCCTGCACCTCTAATAAAGACTTGTTCACTGGGACAATTATATTCTTCCTTGAACTGTTATAAAAAAAAACTGACTCGGACAGGTCTAATTTTTACAGCATGGAGCCAACTCCCAAAAACATGTCAAGATAGAGTCACGCAGAGAGCAAGAGAAAATTAACTGTTTTCCTATGATAACAGCAAAACATAAAAATCCACTGAAAAAAAGTTGGTAATCACATATGAAGGACTATGATTTGGAGAGTTTCTCCAACCCAAATCTGGGTCAAACGTGATTGATCCAACCCTGGCTTGCTTTAACACAACGTGACTTGTGGGTTTGACTGATTCTGGATATATAAGATTTATTCCTACAGTGACACATTTCTCATTTAATCCTACAAAACTGTTCTGATGTCTGATCTAGTTGGTGTACAAGAGAAAGAGCTAAGAAAGTCACTTGTTTAGCCTACAAAACCTGCAATTTCTGACATGCGAATATAAGTTTGCACCTACATACATTTCAATAAATAATTATGTTTTCATGCACAGTTGTTTTTCTATGTAGATAAAACAGTTGATGTAAATAACTTTGTATATTAGCAATCTAAATCTGATCTAGAAAGAGCAAGAGTTTGAAACTCATGGCATAAATGGTGGGATTTAGAAAGAAAATAGTCTAAAGTGATATTCTCTTTGTGGACTATTGGAATGCCCTTAGTTACATGGAACCATCTTTCTCAGAAGAGATTGTACTTCAACTTTTTTAAGATGTTTCTAAAATTGGTAATGAAGGGATATGTGAAAATGTCATGCTCTTTTTCTTTGGCTTTTGTAAGAGCTCTGTGTCACATCAGTTGTAACGCTTTAATAGAGTTGTTGCAGTTTAAAAAACAATACTCTCATCAACACGTTGAAAATTGTGAACTAATTTATATATATACAGGGCAAAACTGGATAAGCTTTTTCCAGTAAGCTTTTTCCTTGCTTCCTATAGTCTCTGATCACTTTCTATTGATTAGATGAGTGAAAATCAACCTCCTTAATTTCAGACAAAACAGAAATTAACTCAGCAGAATACCAGCATTTTAGCTTGCATTGAGGAGAAGTAAAACAAGCATGCAGGATTAGACTACTTAGAAACCTCTTGTTCTGCTTGATGTTAGCCAGCTGGAGCTAACTGGGTTTAATGGATTTGGAGTCTGTTTTTAATGGTAGCTGGCTGTGGTTGCTTCCCTATACAGAGAACCATTATTTTAGGTTGTAAAATGTGGCAATGAGTTAGCAGTTTTTTGTATTCCCCTTTCAGGTCTCCAAAAATGAGCCAATCATAGCTGTGAATTTCAAGGCCACGTGGGAAATATTCTAACAGCAGATGTCAACACAAAATGAATGTTTCTGGCATATTATAGAAAAACGTAATACAATCAGCACATATGGATCAAGCATACTACCATAAGTTCTTTGACCTTGTCAAGACTTATGGACAAATTCATAAGGGAAGCATACACTTGGTCAGGTAAGTAAACCTTTCATTGTTCCCTGCTGTGAACTGTGACTTTACGTAAGAGTGTGACTGAGGGCACTCATTCATAGGTGAGCAGAAGCCTTTGGCATTAAGCATAAAACTCCACCATGATCTCTGCTGAGTAGACACTTTGGACCTAAAATAAAGCTCATTATAGAAACTCAGAATATGCTTTTATTATTATTATTATTTATTTTATAAAATATCCATCAATTTGCTGCAGTTACCCAATCAAAAGAAGGGCATGGGGGACTGGTTTCTCTATTAATCATTAGGTAAGAGGCAGGATGCCCTCTGTACAGGCTGCCACCGAGGCAAACGACCACACAATTATAACTAAGGTCAATTTTGAGTGGCAAGTTTCCTTTACATGTCATTGGATGGTGGGAGAAAACCCACAGATGCACAGAATTAACATACCAAAGTTTACACAGAAAGGCTGGAGCTGGGATTTGAACCCAGAACCTTCTAGCTGGGAGGCAACCGTCCTCACAAATGACTCTTTGTTTGAATCATCAAATAAATACTCTGACCTTCAAGTAAAATGAAACCTCTGAAAATGTAATTTTGACTGTCTTTATTTTTCGAGTACGTCGGTTCTTTCCAGTTAATGGTAGAAAAGAAAACCACAAAACAGTGCAACACATCATGTTCACAACCCTCTCCAGCTGATCTCAGAGGTATTTGCAGTTCCTCATTCATGAAACGCATTGTTGTAACTAAATATAAACCACTACTGCGATCCAGCATTGTTTTTACTGTAGGACTCAGGTCTTAAAACTGAGAAACAATGAAGTGTTTGAAGGCTTTTTGACTTGAAAGGAGATCATACAGTTAAAACATGCTTTTAAAAAACCCAGGAAAAAGGATATGGAAAGTTTTACTCCTGTAACCAATGATACGTGTAGAACAAAAAACAGCCTTTACTCTCAGCTACAATGTTTATGCATGCTATCAGTTTTTGCATGCTATAAATATTCATTTTGCAGTATAGAAAACAAAATAGCCATGCAGTGATAATTAAAATAAAAGAAGCCCAGAGAAAGTAAACTGAACTGGGAAGAAAAGATTGGAGGTTTTTGGAAGCAGCAGCAATAAATGAGTCAAAAACTTCTACTGATAAAACTTTCTAGAACATCTTCCCCTGCCATGAGCACAGGCCAAAAATAAGGATAGAGACAAACACTTCTTTATGGCTACTGTGTGAGGAGGGATTCCAGTTAATTTGCTTCCAACTTCCTTCTCAGCAAAGTTTTTGTTGAGCATTCCAGAACTACTTAGCTGCAAAAGATTAACCTATCGGTGTGTCTCATACGGATTATCTGGAGCCTGTCCACTTTGCTGTAGCTCAATGAACGTGACGTCAATTGGTATATTAATAACTATCTCAATGTTTGGGACAGAAATTTAGAGGGGTTTAGTAATCAAGAAATGTAATCACTGCCCACATGTGATATGGTCTGTAGGTGGAGCGGAAATAAGTAAGAAACTATGATGATAAATATTACAAAAATACCTTATTTCTTAGCAACTACAATTATAAAAACTATGTAAAGTAATGTGTCACATACCTTGCATGCAATCTAATAATGGCCTAATGTTATAAGTTTGTAAAAATTATTTGGGTAAAATAGCTCCTGGGTTAGCAGAAGGTGTGTTGGGTAATTTTGAGATAAGATTCTAAAAATAATAAGTAAGGCAAAACTAACCTAATTACAGTCAGTAAATCCACATAAACACAGTTTAAAAAGTGTGACTTCTGAAATTATTTGTGGCAAGTCTCATTTGCTATATGACAAATCAACCTAACAGCTTTAACAGCCCACAAGAGGATCAAGGTAAAGTATATGTTGGTGTGAAAAGATCCCATTTGACCTACCTGCTGCTAGACATAACATCATGCAGAAATATACTTTTTAAAAAAGCTTCTTCCCAAATTACAAATATTGTCTCAAATCTTGTGCAGCCTTTAATGGTTTTTTGTTAATTATTTTTCTGTATTAGAAAAAAATTCAAGTCACCCTGTTACTAATGTGATTGCTTTGTGGCTGCTTGTTGTTGTGGTTCCAGTTATATAAATAAATGTGTTATATTTGAAATTTGTATGTATGGAGCACAATTTATTTTTCTGAAATAGAATAAGTTCACCACCTGAAGATTTAAAAAGTGTGATTAGTGTGATGTAAAAAGTTATATAGGCCTACTTTATTTCATCTTCCAGTATTTCTGCTTGTTTATCCTCACATTTATAAAACGCAAAAAACCTGACATGAATGATATGACAATTGTGCATTAGCAAGTAGGATGTATTGTTAGCAGTCTCCATGACAAAGAGCTCAAATACATTTGAATTTCTTTTTTTATTGAGTACTACAGTTAAGAATATTTTATGAAGATGAACTGAGTTTCATATTTTCAAATGTGTCAATATTATGCTTTTGTTCTTCATTTTACAATACACAATCAATCCCACGTCTTCCTGTATGTAAACTGAATTGTGATCTCGGTCAAGGAAATGTCAAAATAAAAAAGGTACATCAAGCTTCATTTCTTAAGAAACTTTTATGAGCTGCTGATGACACCTGGTGGTCAGAAGTTGCAAGATGTTTCGGTGATAAAACTTACATTTATTGTCTGGTTAAAGCTCTTAAAAATGGTGCGAAAAGGTTTTATATTTTAATCTAATTTACGTTATTCTGCTGTGCTGATCAAATTCTAGACTTATAAGTAGCTTACTGTAGGGCGTCTCCTTTAAGAGCACTGACCAACGGTCTCAGCGCCCAATCGCGGCGCGTAAACTGAAAGTGTTGTTGTTAGCAACTAGGGGCTAGCTTTCAGCTAATGTTAGCAAACCGAAGAGCTAACGGTGGGAGACTTGATTATCTCAAGCAAATAATTAAAGTTGAGTTAAGCTTTAGTCATTTAAGCAACAGCAACAAGTCTTATCCAGTGTGTGCCTTCAACAAAATCAAAAATGACTTCTGCACTGGTAAGTGTGGCTGATTTGCACTTTACACTAGAGCAACGGAGGTGAAATGAGTTTCATATTTGTAGTGTAATACAGTTTTTCGGGTGGAGTGAAAGGTTGTGTAAATAAAAGCCAACATCTTGTTGAGCACACTTTACTGTATCATATTTAATTAAGCATTAGTTTTAAATTGTCAGATTGTTTTGTCCTACAGTAGGTGTGAATGTGTCACACAGTATCTTAAAAATATTCATACGAATGTCACTCCTCCAACAAAACTGAATCACTTAAAACTATGCGTTTTAAGTTAGCACAACTTACAGGCATTTAAGTCTATATCAATGTTGCACTAACTTGTGCAGTTGAGATACAATTTAGACTGGAAACTATTGCAATGTTTTTCAACGTAACTCAAAACACAAATAAAACATTTATCAGTGGTGTTCAAAGTAAGTTTTCAAGTACCCTGCATGTTTAGTTCTTTTCCTGGTTCAAACACCTCAAATGATGGTTCATTAGCAGGTCTTAAAATACTATAGAGTTGGACCATTTGAATTAGGTGTGTAGGAGCAGAGGCCTAAATCTGGCAGGACTTATTGCTTTTAAGACTATATGATTTGATAAGACTGATATCAAATGTTGAGTTGCAACACTTGTCTGCTTATTATTGTGGCCTGTTATGACATCATGTTAAACTCTGAAAAGTGTTATGATTGCTGCAATTAAGATGGATCACAAACTGAAACTGTCATGATGTGGTGACCCAAGGAAATTAGTTTGGACATGTCATAAGAAATTATTTATGAGTTAAGAATAATGTGCACAAGATGTTTCCAAGTTGTGCATACAAGTTAATATGTTGATTGGTATATTTTACAAATGCTCAGATGATGTCAAATGTCCACGTTTAGACCGTATTGCCCTTCTGAGTATGCAGCTAACCTGTGGTGTAATCACAGCAAATCCAACATCAAACAACCCTGGATGGCCTTTCAGGATGCATTTAGAAGCTTAAGCTTCCAAAATGGGCAGGTGAAAGTCAAATAAGTGCTTCCTATAATGTTCCCACTGTCCATGATTTACTCAGCTAATTTTCTTTATTCATGTTCAGTTGCTTGAAGAAAAATATGAAGACTTTGACTCTAATAATATACAAAATTGCACAAAATATTCTTTGAGCTGATATTCTTTGAGGAAACTGGACAATAGTTTGTATTTGATAGCAGCCTCTCTGCAATGTAATGTTTGCATCTATTACCTTTTGGTTACTATGTTTATTTGTATATTTGCTCTGTTTTTACTATCTGGATCAATGTCTCTAAAATAGTCCAAATGTAGTAGCTGGTAGATCTGTGTATCCACAGTATCTTTTCAAAATCTGACTGAATCTTGGATGAGAAATTAAAATTCCAGGACTTAACGTTAAATTGTAAAGTTATATGTTTGGGTAAAATATATATTGCATACTTTAAGGCCTTTTAAGACTGATGAAACATTTGCAGCTTTTAGATACACATAGAAGTGTTCCTGATTCCAACTGCAATAATCAGTGTTGTGTGTATATAACATTTTAGCAACAGAGGGATTTATTATTCTTTTTCTCTTCTTGTATAGCTGCTTTTCTTTACTCCGGATAATTATACAGGGAAAAATGTTACACCTGGCCCATCCCTTTTTGAAAACACATCATCAGTTGCTACTTGCCACTTATGTGTTTCTATTGGTTAATCTGTTCTTCACCTCAGATTAGTAAATGTTTATATAATCTTATAATTGCTGAATACATCAACAATTAACTGGAGTTATTCTGGAACTCCAGTTCCAAATAAAGCTTTGGAACTGGAGAATAGGTATTATCATCCCTTTTTATAAACTTCTTTTAACATAATCAGTCAACATTAAAAAAAAGTATTTACCTTGTGAGAATTTATGTTGGAGTTAACGGGTGCCTCTCCCCAAGAGATTGTTAGTGCAGGATGCTCAGTAATATAATATTTCAAGAATAAGTTATGAAATATCACTTGAAAATGTGAGTGTAGAAAGTGGGAAGTAAACAAGAGATCAATAGAGAAATATACTGTTTAAAAGTAAGTCCATGGACAAGATATCAGTATGAAACCATCTTTATCAACAATAGTTTATCACATGTGTAAAAACGTGAAGAGGATTAATGTAAAAAAAAAGTGTACAAACTTCTTTTTAGGGTTTGTTTGATATGACTCTTGCCTCAACAACATACACTGTTTGACAAATGTTCAGAAGTTTGGTTAAGAGTCTCAGTTCTCGACGCCATATTTGTCAAAGTGTCTCATAATAATTCCCAGCTCCAGCTCCACAGTCCCCATTGTTTCGGTGTGCAGTCTGTATCTGTCCGCTCCGCTGTATATCAGGTCGGGGTTCCGGAGTTGGGGACCTCCCCCGACAAACATTTGGGCCAGCTGCTCTCGCCAGGAGCCGAGGGGCCTCCAGGTCACGCAGCTTATCCGGTGATGTCCGGGGCTGGACGGAACGTGGCAGTATCCGTACCCGTACAGCTGGCAGCGGCCGAACGAGTCCTGGTGCCATACCTGCAGATAGATCTTGGGCCAGCCTTGGAGACCTTTGGTCGCGTAGTGCAAATCAATCGGGTGGCTCCAGTAGGCCATGTCTCCGGTTTGAGGAATGTCCACCTGAGTTTGTCCCTCCTTTAGCCCGGAGAGAAGACGCCATGCTCCTCCCGTATGAACTCCCCATTTGCAAAATAGACTATTTTGCGGGAAACCGCTGGCCCCAATGATTTGTCCTATAATGTGAAGCTCTGCCATTTTACAACTTTCCGCTTTAAGCAGAACATGCGGCTCTCCGATTCCTCTCTTCACTTATCGAGTAACGGCTAGCCTAACGGTTAGCGGTGGCTCTGGCTGTTCGGCTAACCTGGAAGCTAGCGATACGTCTCCTTGGTAACCCGGGCTGCCTCCGTTCGACTGTGGAATTTTGCCCTGAGTTAGGACTGTCAGGCTCAGGCAGCGACTCTTTAGATCTGAATTAAAGTCTTTGGAACAGAATGGAGACGTTATCTTTGTCTGGATTAGACAGATAATATTTTGTATTTCAGTAAAAGTGTTCTTAAAGTCATTGCTAAATTGACAAACAATGCTTGGTTGTGATTTCATAAATGAGATATTTTCACCTGACAGATTAAGTTCAGGATTTATATTTGAAAATTAAGTGTTTAATTTGGAGGTATATATAAATAATGATTTATGATTGGTTGGTAAATAAATGATTTAAACATACAAATAACCTCAAATCATTTTGACAAACATTCAAATTTTAGTATATCGTTTTTCTCTCTCTTTCTAAAATAAAGTTTTGGAACCGGAAGATCAGAGTGAAACAACGCCACACAGTGGTTTGTGTCTTAACATCAAGTTCACCTAACTGACCATGAAGACAATTTCACTTATTAAACTCAAGAGGATTAATAAATTAACTACTTTATATGACATGGTAATAAAGTAATTGCTCACTTGAGAATTTTCACTTAATTACATTTACCTCCACACTCATAATATCCGCTTACAAAATGAATATCTTGCTTTGCTTTTTTTTTTTTTTTTTTTTTTTTTTTAAGGAAAGGGCTGTTTTAGAGTGACATGTTAAGGAGGACAGACACAACAGCCAAGGTTCATGCATATCATTGACATATTTTATTTTTATTTTTAATCACACCATATCCTCAGTCATCATGCCCACGTTCTGTTTGAGATTTCTATTTTAGCTTGTATATTTTCTTTGTGTCCAGGTATTGTTTGATGTGTTTAAGGTTTTCTTGTTGCTAGATGCCAGCATGTCCGGTCAAATGGTTCTGTGTTTGATGAAGCATGTTCCTCCACTGGTTCTTCCCAGGGTTTTGTTTTTCTTAGTGTATTGCTTAATCATGCACATTAGTGATTGCAGGAATCACTATACACTTTTTGAAATTCATGAATGACAATTATTATTTGCCTTTCCTGGGAAATGCATAAAACTATAACATTTGTAACATATCTAGATTATATAATGACTAATAGCTCTTCTCTTTCTGTTCTTTATTTTACTTTGAAAAGGTCCATGTTCTAACTGTTAGTTTAAGTCCTCATAAATTAAAGTTTCAAATGTTTCTGTGCGGTTTTGATATTAGCACTTTTATCACTTTTACTTATTAGCTGTTTATCAAATTACTCTATCCATTGGTTTTTGTGATCTGTTTAGAATTAGTTTCTTATGATTTCAAACTTGATGTCCTTTTCTTATCAGTGTATGTTTATAAATCATTCTAGTGTCAGAATTCATTTTGGTAATTTATTGTCACTTAATAGATTTCTGTGTTTCTCTCTCCACATAGTCGGATCCAACCCTTGAGAGACATTTTAAGGGTCATCGGCATACTGTGACCAGTGTGGACTTCAACTGCAACATGAAACAGATTGGTAACTGCCTTGTTCATATTTCAGATCATTTTTATGTCTGTCCTGTTCACTGTGCTCTTGAACAATTCACTGAAGTGTGCTTCCCCCTCCTCCAGCAACAGGCTCTGTGGACTCTTGTGTGATGATCTGGAACATGAAGCCTCTGATGCGAGCGTATCGCTTTGATGGCCACAAAGAAGCTGTCACTTGTGTTCAGTTTTCTCCGTCTGGTCACCTGGTAGCCTCCACCTCTAGAGACAAAACTGTACGCCTTTGGGTGCCCAACATGTAAGATGTTTTGAAACATCACTTTCTGTATTCTGCTACTCCTCTTTTAATTAAGTTCATCCTGAAACTGCCACAAAGGACAATGCTGCAGATTAACTAAAACAATTTAATAAAGATGCAATTCTAGTAATTGCGAATCTTCTGCTGTGAACACACAGCCCTGACCCCACCTGACTGCTTTACATTTGAGTGATGTGTGTGTGCAGGAAGGCAGATTCAACAGTATTCAGGGCTCACACAGCGACTGTGCGCTGTGTTAACTTCTCCAGTGATGGACAAACTATGTTGACATCCTCTGATGACAAGACCATCAAACTGTGGACAGTCCACAGGCAGAAGTTCCTCTTCTCTTTCTGCCAACACATGAACTGGGTCCGCTGTGCTAAGTATGACACACCCATATACAATAGTTCGAGTTAAATATAATTTTCCCTGCAAAAAGTGTAATGAGTTTATTTTTACCTTTTTTCTTAATCGTCCAACTAGTCATTGAAGGACATTTCTTAAGTGATTTTTTTCTTTCAGGTTTTCTCCAGATGATGGTTTGATTGTATCATGTAGTGATGATAAAACCATAAAACTATGGGACAAGAAAAGTAGAGAATGCATTCATACTTTCACTGAGCATGCTGGGTAAGGGCTTTAAATTAGAATGATGAATGTGTGAAGCTTTGAGCAAAATGTTGATGAACATATTTCTTACTTTTAAGAAGAAACTAAAAGTAGTAACCAAGACATTGTCTTGCACTGTGTGTTTTGAACTGACACTTTAATGTCTGTTTTCCTCTGTCTTTGAAGCTATGCAAGCTATGTAGACTTTCATCCCAGTGGGACATGCATTGCTGCAGCAAGTACTGATACCTCTGTTAAGATTTGGGACATCAGAACCCACAAAATGCTTCAGCATTATCCAGGTAAAAACAGCCTTAGAACCCATCTTTAGTTTCAGTGAAATAACAGTTTGCATTCAGCTGTGACATGTTTCTAACTTTATGAACAGTTTTAAAAAGTCCTAATATTTATGAAAGCTTTTTTTTTAATGGGGATTAGGAACCACAGCCACCCTTGAATACTTGAGACCCAGTAAAAGTGCTTAGACACTTTCTTTTTGATTTATTGAGCTCCTTCTTTAGTTATCTATACAATTAGTTATTGAATTGTAAGTCTTGTTTTCTGTCCTTAAATGAACCTTTTCTTAAGGATACAGTCTCTCTCTTTCATTCTCACTTTGCAGCCATTTAATCTCAGCACCAGCTTCGTTTTTTTCCAGCTAGAAGTTTCTAAGTCTTAGCAATATTCATCCAGCAGGGGGACCCAAAGCTTTTAAATTATTCTCATTGAGATAGAGGTTTTGAGTTTATCTCAGTATTTTGTACTTTCAGAAATCTTGTTGCACTCCACTTATTTAGTCATTTTTGCCATCTGTGTTCAGATTTTTCAATTTTCAAATATTAAAACTGCAAATAAGTAGCCACTTCCTTCCCTCTAGTCATCCAGACCCTCAAAATAATAATAGATAGTTACTGAAAATTTTTCTGCTGGATTATTTGAGAAAATGCAATAAATTTTTCTTTTTATTATGCTCTTAAAAAATTGTCAGTAAGACTATTTTGCACACAGCATGAACATTTCTTCTTAAAGGTTTACCCTTCATTCTTAATTTGAACAAATAACTTTTGGGCAACCCTCCTGAGTGGTTGGTTGGTTGGTTGGTTGGTTGGTGGTTGGTTGGTTGGTTGGTGGTTGGTTGGTTGGTTGGTTGGTTGGTTTGGTTGGTTGTTGGTTGGTTGGTTGGTTGGTTGGTTGGTTGGTTGGTTGGTTGGGTTGGTTGGTTGGTTGGTTGGTTGGTTGGTTGGTTGGAAAGATAGAAGGAAATAAAAGTAGGAATATGCAAACCTCTTTAAACAGTGGAAGTTTGTCTTTGATGGCTTGTGTTTTCTGTAAGTTTGAGAAGGTCCTTAAATTTGCACAATGATTTAACTACACAGACTGAAGCCTGATAATATTTTAGAGGCGATTACCATCATGTTGTTTTTATTATAGAAATTCTATAATTTCAGGAAGATGAGCACATGCTTTAGGAAGTATTTAATATAAAAGAACATTTGTAAATGTGCATTTCCTGCTATAAGGTCTGTGTGTTTTGTCTTTTCCAGTCCACAGTGGTGCCGTTAACGGTTTGTCTTTCCATCCTGGTGGTAATTTCCTAATCACTGCATCCAGCGACTCCACAATGAAAATACTGGACCTGGTTGAAGGAAAGCTATTGTATACACTACATGGACATCAGGTACACGTCCACACACACACAGAAGCACACACACTCTCCACTGCTATCCTGTAGGCTTAGTTGTTTAGTGTACCTTCAGGATAGGTTGAGTTTCTCTCTTTTGCTTTTTTTATTCCTCCAGAGTTTTTGAAAAGAAACGCAGGGAGGGCTATGCTGGTCCGAACCGTTGCGTGTGTTTGACATGTCCAATACGCATGTTTATCTCTGCTTAGGTCTGTATGCATTTGAGTGTGTGCGTATGAAGCCTTTTTTGTATTTGTTGTATTTTAGTACTTGCCTGGCAAGCAGGCAGCCCACTCAGAATGAGTCATCTCATGGTTGTTGGAAGGAAACAGAACTGTTTCTGCCCCCGTTTCTCCAGATCCTGTCTCTTCCTTCTCCTTCCCTGGTTTTGTTGTGTTGAGTTTTCAACTGGGACAACTCTCTTTCTCTCTTTTCCACCTTCGTAATGATCCTAGTTTTCCTTTTGGACCTTCTGCGTCTTTCTGTCCCTCATCTGATGCACTCACATTTTGGCTGCTTGGAGTAGCTGGCCAGGCGGCACGCTGACTGTGTCTGTTTGTTTGAACAGCTGATGGACTGGCTTGCTGGCTGGTTGTGGAAATCAGTGGCTTGCCAGTACCACATGTGGTCCATCTGTTTATCTATCCCCTCACACACTTTGCCCGTCTTTCATTCGGCCTTTTTTTTTTTCCATTTTCACCTGTGTTTCTCTACTGTCACTTGCCAAGGTTCATCTTTTGTTGGGATGAAGAAGCTTTTTTTTGTTCTCTCTTCCCACCTCCAGATTTGTCATCTCCTGTACTTTGTCTCAGTTTCTGTTGTTTTATTTAGCTCTGTGGTGACACCACCAATCTGTTGGTGCTGGGACCACTCAGAGCGCTAATTGTCTCTCCTGCTGCAGATCGAGAGATGGGAGACCCCCATCTGTTCTGCGTGGGTGTTTAGGTTGGTGTGTTTGTATCTGGTTGCATGTGTTTGGCTTTGCATTCATGTTGGCGTGTGCTTCATATGAAAACATGTAAGTGATTTGCCGTTGGACCCGATCAAAGTGCTGCTTACCCAGGCTCTGGGGGATTCTACCTGGCTGGAGATTAAGTGAGCTACTGAAGGTCTGTTTTTTGTGTCTGCTTTAATATAAACCTAAATAACATTTTATAATGATTGTTTTATTTCCTTGTGAAGTCATTGGCAATTATATTTTGAGACATTTTAGACATGTTTTGGCTAAAGTGGACATTTAATTTACTTCTTTTGTGATGTAGTTCTGTGTAAGGATTTCTAGTGCCATTATGCTTTGAAAAAAATAACTACAAGGCCCAGAATGCAACACTGTAAACAGCACTGTAGGATGCCAGATATTCTCTTAATTCTCAAGGCCTAATTCTGGCCTTAAAGCTTTTTATTATTGTTTCTAAATGGAATAAGAATAAATATATTTTTGTAAGCTTAATGCTGCTATAGAAGAGGTTTCATTTTAGGGTTGGCTTCAAAAGATGGATTTTATCAGTAGGTAGATACCTACCATCAATAACCATGTTAAAGCTTAGTTTAAAAAGGAGTTGAATTTACATAATCTGGGAGAAAGAGGTCAAATCTCTGAGCTGAAAAGCACTAACATAATTTCATAAAGTTATACTTAACTCAGCTTTAAATATGAGTTTGTGTACTTTAAGCAGGACTTCTGTTTTATGACGTAGTTGGTCATGCTGAGGTGAAAATAATTATTATTTTCTTATATCCACTTACATTGCAAAAAATCTGATGTACTTCTACTAATGGTGTCATAATGTATTCATGACTCAGATTTGTAGGATTTATGTGCATCTATTTATTGGAAACTGGGAGGTTGTAAAAATATACAATTATTCTTTAAAATTGACATTTCTAAGAGAAAATTAATAATTTTTATGAAACTTGAAATACTAGATCTACTGTAAAGACATGGGTTCATTGAAACAGTGTGTGGAACAAATTACAATATGCAACACACTGTGCTGACGGTTGTGTTACTCAGCATTTATGTCTGGTTTTCAGTCTATGATTAACCTGGAGCCTATAGAACTCAGTAAAAACAAACTTCTGGAAAATGACTATGTAAATTTTTTTTTAATTCGATAAAAATATAAATGTTTATTTGATTTTTAGAGTAATAGAAACTATAAGGTTTTGGTTTTATTGTTTGTGTTTATTCCAGCTGCTTTGGAACATGAAGAGTTTGTAATTGTTATGTGCATCATTTCGTTTTAGATGGGACCATATGGGTTCTGTCTTGTTGCTGTAATACTTGCTCTTGTATCACAAGACAAAATGGGCCATTTAGGTTCATTGTTGTGCGTGTGTGTCCATGGCAAGTGCCAGCCTGGCAGCACGCATTAGTCAGAGCAGAGACAGAACATGCTGTCTGTCAGACCGTCGCGTTGCCATAGCGCTGCTCTCTGCTTCTCTCAGGTGCTTCTGGGAAACCATCCTCAGCCAGACCGACCTGTCTGGGTGCCAGATGCGGGACACAGCTCCTCCTTTTTTTCCCCTCTCAACAGCCTCCATGTTCTTGTCATTTTTCATGTCTTTTTTTCTTTTCTTTGAATACAAAATGGTTTATCAAGTGATGTGGATTTTTTTTTCTTTTAGGACCTCTCTTTCAGTATCCTGTAGCAAACCTAAGTCCTGATATTTGAATGCAATTTTTTATTTATTTATTTTTTCTTTTTGCTTGGACCAATGTTAGTCTTTATTGTTTGTTGATTTTATTAATAGCTTAGCTCTAAGCACCCACATTCACACATACGTACTCCCACTCTGGAGATTATTTCCTTTTTGTTTGTTTTCGTTTTTCATGAATAAAGTCTATTTGTGTTTGAAACAGTTCTTGGATTTAAATTGGATTCAAGGTGGTCTTTTAATAGAATAGTGAATGAACTGGATGTAATGCATACATAAATAAAAAACATGTTGGATCTGTTGTGTTTTCTGTAATAAAGTAGATAGTTTATTGTTATGTTTATTACAGTTTAAACCAGAAGGTTACATACACGAAATACTGTAAAATGCTTTTTATTCCTCACTGGCTGAAGTTAAATCAGTCCAAACTTCTCATGTTTTAGGTCAGTTAAGATTGAAAAAAGTATTAATATTTACTAAATGCAACAATAATGAGACATATATTTATTTATTAATATCTTAAAAATTAAACTAAATTAGGTTTATTGGTTTAATTTAAAATGGTTTTATTTTAATAAAAAAAAATGGCTATTCAAACCAAATTGGCCCCATGTGGAAAAACTAATTTTTCAATTTATAGGTGATTTTGTCATGTTAGATTTATTTATTCAATCTGATCTCCATCTTGTAAAACTGCTATAAAAATATTGTCCCAATTAATGACTGCCTTACTGAATGTTTTACATATTTAATTTTTTATGGTAATGTTAATATTGTACATTTTGTTCCTTGTTTTATTGCCTGGCAATACTAAAATTTCTCAATTATATCTGTCAATACCCAGACCTGCTCATTGTAGGTGGAGGTGTTGCATTGTTGTAGCTGATTCAGATTCTAATGTTTTGTTTGAATCATGTCTTATTGCTTAAGCTTTTCATTAAATCAATACATACATTAATTGTTTGATATTCAGTTGGAGAATCTTTATGTATTTTGTTAGATACAAGAAAGTTGCTGGTGTTAAAAGGTTGTGATTTTATTTCTATGTTAACTCACTTTTCTATCTTGTCTTGTGGGGTTTCTCTAATCCAGGGTGCAGTCACATGTGTGGCCTTCTCTAGAGCAGGGGACTACTTTTCATCTGGAGGTTCTGATGAACAGGTGAAGGTTTATTCTTCAGATTTCTTAAAACGAGATTTCATACTGTTTGGCTCATAGAAAAAAGCATTAGAAACTATACTGAACTAAATTCGAAAATTTTATTCTGGTGTATTAATCAATATGCAATAATTTGTGTTTTTACAGGTTTTGGTGTGGAAGAGCAACTTTGACGAATGTATTGAAAGCAGCGATGGTGTCAAATCGCAATGTAAAAGTGCAGCAAGTTCACAGTCTCGGACAGCCAGTTCAACAGCTCATCTTCCTTTTAACTCGGAACCACCTGTCCTCAACAGCCAGGTCAGACAAAGAACAGCTTCTCTCCTCATTCACAGTGTTGGTAGGAGAAAGGACACGGTCTACGGTCCTCAGCCAGCAATTGCAGTGGGCTCTAATGTAGGAGCTTGAGCACACAAAAAAAAACAACAAAATTAAGGATAATAACGGCACTCAATTAAAATTTGAATCTGACCAACATGAACATGAAGGTCAGCATGAACATTGAAATGGAGTTGGACTAAAATAAACATGTTTGTCCTGTAAGGTAAACCGTTGCAATATAAACAAACTGAGTTTAACTTAGTCAAATTGAATACATATTTGCATTTACTCCTTAGTTTCATTGAAACCTGCAGGTTCACTGCCAATTTTACTTTATCCCTAAAAAGAAGAATTGAACACAAACTTCAGTTTGTCTGAAAACCTCCCTGGTGTCCAAAAGACAAGATAATTTTCCTCATGCTGTTCATGAAAAAAAATTGCTTTTGAGACCATGTCATGTGTATCATAGCTTATGACACATAATTACCCCATTGGATGCCAGGTGATGTCTTCTCTCTTGTTCCTTGCCACCTCTGCCTGTTGGCTGAGAAGTTTTGAAGGGGTCTGGGGTTCTTTACGAACAAAAAGGCTGCATTATCTGCTTCTGCCTGGATCTGGTGAAAAAGTGTCATAAAATGGGCATGAAGATGATTTGTGATCAGGATTATGTGTACACTGACCTAAAATGGTCTTTGGCAGCCTGAGTGTGAAGCTCTTAATATCTTTTAACCACTTTTTCTTGTCTAATATTTTTCGTGGAACCCTTGAGATACTTTTTGTTCTTCTCTATATAGCGCTTTTTTTTTCGCTCGCTGAGCTGTGAAAGCAAGGTTGCAAATGGATTTTAATAGCTCCTCAAGTTGGCAGTTATTATTACTGATGAGTCTGAAAGATAACAAAATGGCCAGTTGCCTCATGTGGAGAAGGTGGAGTCACACAATGTGTGAAGCATGTTCTTGAGGATCCATGTTCTTGTGTAAAAGAGCTGACCTTTTTTTTTTATCTGTGAAATGTTGTTTTCTAAATCCATCTAAAGCATCAACACTAATGGAAGGGCAGGATTTGCTTCTGCTTTGAAGAAGCAAATCCTGATGTTGCTATTTGTTTTGAATTTTTCTTTGTCAGAAGAGAAAAAGTAAAGGAAAAACTAATGTAAAACAGCTTCAATTGTTCTATTACCAGTTTCAGATTTTAAATCTAAAACTGTGCTTTTTCCCCACCGGTAGAGGCTGTAATTTGTGGTGATAAAACAAGAGGTTAATGATTTATTGTTCCAACCTATCATCACTTGCTTCTAGTAATCTTTTGAAGGAACTAAGGCAACAATAGGGACATTTTATGAATCTGTTTGCAAAGTATATCTACTTTACCGCTGTTAACACAAAACACTTTTGCAGTAAAAAATTTTTTATGCAAGTGTGTGATTGTAGTGCTTCAGTAACTTTGTATCTTGTTCTGCAACTGCATTATATTAATAGAGAATGCATGCATGCATGCCTGTGAACGCTTGTGTTTTACTGTGGTTCTTCTTGTTAGGTCTCAGATTGTTTTCATTTGGTTTTGACTGAAATAAGAACCAGATTTTTTTGTGGAGTTCTTTGTTTATATGCTGATATGGAGGCATAAACCATTTACTCCATCAGTTTGTGGCGTTTCATCTGTAATTGGAAGTTGGAAAGTCGGAGAACAACGGCCAACTGGCCAATTTATTATGGTTCCTGCACATATAAAATGTCCATTGTTGCAGAGATACACTGCTTATGTACACTTTTGATTTTTCTGTTGCATTAAACCAATAGCACAGAGTAGAATGAAATACTTTTTTCATTTAAATTTCCATAACAGTAAGATTGAAGTGCATCTTTTGATGTGTAAATAGAAAATAAATATCCTTTGTTGTGGCAAAATAAAGCATATGGAGAAACTTCTGTGCAACAGGAGTAATGTGACAGACATTTACAGCAAATAGACCCACACAAAGATTAAATGTATAATATATAAAAACTGAATAAAGAATGAAAATACTGTACAGTAAGGGAAACATTTCCTTTCGACCAGTCAAATCAAACAAAAAATGCTATGAAATTGCACTTACTGTACTTACTATAACAGTAAAGAAGAATGTATACATTTGGACACACTTCCTGCACAATTCCCAATAAAATCAGATTTGTAATAGTTATTCATTGAAATAACCACTTTTGTGTTAAAAAAGTTTACACAAAAGTTAAAATCTTTACTTAACCCTGTTTTTTGTCTTATGTTTTCTACCTGAATATGAACCATCACACAGTTCTGTTCAGCCTTTAGGAGGGAACTGGTTCCCTTCGTGTTTTAAGGGAAAAAAAATTTAGTCTGAGTTATTGTTAGGCAATGAGGGTGATGTCTTTTAATAATTATGTATACAGTAATTTGTCAAATTTTGTGAGATACTGAATATTACACCAGTCCAGTAAAAAAAAAAAATATTTAAATCAGAAATGTGGGTATATTGAAAAATATGTCTTACACCTGCTTAAATGTTATTCCCAAATTGTATTTTTAATCTGACAAATGAGCCTCATTGGAACCATAATTTATTGATTACAACTTCTTATATGAGTTATTCATTTATTTTATTTATGTTTTGTTGGGTTGATACTCTAACTTAATAAAATACATCTGCATTAAATAACTCATAGGTGTTTTTATACTACAACTCCAGTGTTATCATTATAGTATAAATAAAATCCCAGATTTTTCAGGAGTTGACAAATGACACAGTAGACCTGTAAGTTCTCAAAAGAAGCTAATTTCATCTTCTGTTCTCTCTAAATGAAATTCAGAGGGCTTTATGTGCTCATCTGTCACGTTGATTGACATATCATAGGAGGTTTATATGTAATTTATGGTCACTTTACCAGAAACACGTAAGTCCATTTGTTGAAAAGAACAAACCAGATTCAAAACAAAGTCCAGCTCCAGACTGAGAAAGCATTTGGCTGATTCTGGTCATCTTTCTCTTCTCGCTACAGCTGCAGCAAATCTTCATTTGCCGCAGCTTTTTTTCATGAGAACATGCATGCATTGATGTGTGCGAGTGCCAGCCATTGCTGACAGGCAGATCAGCTTCTTCTGATCACATTGGCTCCAGCCCTCCCTTCCTTTTTTCCCCTCCGTCTCCAGCTCCACATCTGGGTCTTTCTCTCGCTCACGTGTGCTGACAGACGAGCAGTACTCTCTGAACAGGCTTCTCTCCACGGCTCAACACACATATAAGAACCACCACAGTGTTCAGCTTTAGGACCTGGAATGGATAGAATGGAAATTCATCCCCTTAACCCTTATTTTATGTAGGGTTAGGTAATTTCTTTCCCTTGAAAGCATTGTGCAGCAGTATAACATTACAGATATACTGATCAATTTGGTGCAGGTTTTTGTGCTGTGTAGCTTCAAGGTGCAGGCACAGAAAAGGCAGGTGGTATGATTTTGACAGCAGGAGTCGAATGCATTTGACAGCAGGAGGTAAAGAGAGAGGCAGGAGTTGTCATGAGGGACTGTTGAAGACAGTGGAGGTAAAATAATGGTCTAATGGTCCGGTGAAGGGAAGGAGCAACACTTTTGTGCTGGCAGAGGGGGAGCATGTGAGCAGGTAGACATTACAGGAACAAGTCACCATCAGGAACTAGAGCTGGTAATGGTTTATACATGTTGAAGGATGGACAGTCAAAGAGAAATTATAATAAAGATGAAAGGAAACAACAACAGGAAGAGAGAAATGTGAGATACTCCATCCCTTATTGAATCTTTAACTACCGTTAGTTCCTGAACCACAACCGGCTTCATTAAATGAAGAAAGAGCCTCGCTGACAGTTTTTCATAAAATGTTTGCTCAGCTGTAATTAACTGAGTTGAGCAGCTGGTGACAATGTTTGTCTTCATTCAGGGGTGATATTATGAAGTGCATTTATACTTACATACACGCCTACCAGCTTTTCCTGTTTTATCAAAAGAGAAAATGTCGTCTAATAGGAGAACATGAAAACTGACACTTTCCATAGCTGCTAAACAAAAAAAAGAAAACTTTATTTGGAACTCAAGTAGAATATAAAAATATTCCCCTGGACTTTTAGCATGGATGTACAGTTGCACCCAGTTTTTTTAACTCCTACTTAATATTAGATGTGTTATCAAAATATATGAAAAAAATGATCAAATTTGTTTGCAATAAACATATTGGAAAAGAACAAACGGCTGGGAAATAAACTGATTTTATCAATTAACTGAATATTTGTTTTTGAAAGTTGAAAAATTAGCATTTTTTTTCCACCAACACATTTCTTGGGTTTTCAAAGTGATGTTAACCTACCCAGGAACAACCATTTTGTTTGACAAGCTTGTTTTTAGATTCTTTTTATTTCTACCTACCAACACGATCAAATTTGGTCAGCTGCTTTTACAGCTGTAACTGCTGCACAATGACTGGTGGAAAATACAAGTGTTTTGTTGATGCACCATCCAGAAACCACTTTCTGCATTCTTGCTGGTTGTGCAGGAGTCTCCACTTCTGCTTTTCAAAGATGTACGGTTGTAAATTGGGGATCTGTTTGCAGTTATTTTCCTTTCTGAATGTAAATGTTGAGTTAGGGAGTGTTGCTGGCAGCAGCTCATTTCAATTTAAAGTGACAAGAGGCCTTTAAAACAGCTCATTCTGAAATGAGCTCAAAATAGGCAAAATTTTGAGCTGCCTATTTGAAATTAGGTAATTTTTGTTCTCATTATCTAAAACCTAAAACAATGTCAGCTTCAATTTGTGCACAACTAGGTAAATAACGCCAAGAGGTGTATTTATATCGTTTTGAGGGATTCTGTGCTGTGGTGCTATTATTTAACTCTGGAACTTTGTGAGCCTTTGGATCAGTGGCAGGTCTTGAGAAGACAGATTGGAGCGTACTATGAAAAGAATGACATGAAGCTTGGTGGCGCCTTAGTGATGCTCTGGGGCTGTTTTACTCTGTTAGTCACTGGAGACGTGTGGAGGGCAATGAAGGTGGAGGAGATGCTATTGCATCTTGCCCTCCACACTGTCAATTTACTGTCAGGAGAAATGCGGTGGTGTCTTTGAGGAAGCTGAAGCTCGGGAGCCATTGGACCTTCAAACAGGACAGTGACGACAAGCATATCTCAACAAACATGATTTCAGATGACAACCCGACACAATAGATGTCTCCATGGTCACCTGATTTAAACGCTGATAAAAATGTCCAGTAGAATTTGGTTATAGTACCAAATCCAAGAATATTAATATGGATTGGAGTATAAAGACTCCTCAGGATCAAGACCAGGATGCTGTTCTGTATCTTTTAATTCAAGAATTAAACAAATTTTTATGTTTTTTCTTGGAAAAAGTGATCACATTTAAGTAAAAATGTGGAGTTGACGAATAGCATTTTTTATCCAAATATTTTTCAAAAACTCTTTCCTAATAAACAGATACGAAGTACTTACTTACTTCCTATAGCATATAGGTATTACCATATATACTTATACTTAGTATTAGTCAATACTCAGTATTAGTTCTCCAACTGAAAACTAATACTACTACTGAATTAAATTTATCAAGAAAAGCCAGAAACTGTGGTTCAGATTTAAATCATTAGATAAAGTGATTCGCCCTCAAAACATATCTGGAAAAAATATCATTATAACAGCATTATAATTTAAAGAGGTGAAAGAAAATGTTTAAGTGTAAAGGTTTATAATGTAGTCGTGTTTGCATGAACTGCTTTGAAAGTCACACAGTTTGTTGGCTCGAAAGCTAATCCGTCATCAGTGTGAACACACTGAGATTGTTATCTACTGCATGTTAGATATTAAGTGCTCAAGGTATCTTAAAGTCCCACTTCAAATCTGCGATGTATCTTTTTGATAAAGGTCACACTTGTGTGTTTGATTGTTAATAAAGGTGAAGGATGCAAACAGAAGCACTCTATTATATTTGTAAATTGGCTTCAGGTGGTATTTAGTCCTGTCGAGACAGAAAGTGATGGTGGAAGCAGCTGCTGTTGCAGACAGCGAAGGTTTCGTTTTTACACTTAGAACAAACAGTTAAGTAATCCACTCTGCGTGAACATGTCTGTGATGACTGGTTTTCTATGGGGTAGCGTTGGCTGACTGTGTCAGGGTTTAATTTAGGTCTCAGGAAATGTTCCTTTGTTGGTTTTTCCACTTCAAGTGATTCATTTGAAGAGTATTTACTGTTTGCCTGCTCATTTGTCTGTGCATGTATGTAGAAACTGTTCTAACATAGTTCCCCTAGAACTTATATTAGTTAATTTGATTAAACATATCAAACTGGATTGGAGTCTAGCTTGAATATGTTCAAATAAAATTAAATCACCCGTCGCTGGAAACAATTTTCCTGACAACATATTTTATTGTTTGAACTAATCCTTCAAGGAAAAGTAAAATGTCTTGTTGTTTTCCCTAACCGAAGCATTTTTAAGGATTTCATTTTAGACTATTTATCTTAATGAAATGTGTTTTACAAAATAAAAGTCCAATGAAAAATTATTATTACTCACTTGATGTTTCTTTCCATTGCATCACTGATTTTGAAAGCAACTTTTATAGCCTCTTCTTTCTTTGATTATGTGATGAATTATGTGTATTAGATTTGTTTTATTAGCTATGAAGATTGTTGTCTGATCTCATCAGCTATGCTGATTCTGTGACTGTCGTTTTGAAATAATATTAATGATATGACATTGAATTTTTATTGTTTTTGAGAATTTTAAGGACTCGGCTCACATGAAACAGATAACGTGCTATTTCAAGAAAAATGCTTCCCCACTTTTCCTCTGGCACTGGGTGTTTTTTCCTGCTTGTGATGAGCTGAAAGACGGCTGGCGGTTCTGTTCATCTGGCTTCATTTAGAAGGAGCACAGTTTGACGCCGTGTTTCACTGAGCAAGAATAGGTTTCTTGCTGTGTGGGGATGTGTAACGCAATTGTTGTCTCCCTTGCTAATATGCATGAGTGATTCCCCAGCAGACAGAGACCTACGGAAACAGAGACATATGAAGGAACATATAGATATAGTTTTAGTCACATAAATATGGAGAAATGTGACCGCTGACCTTCATGTGTTCATGCATCACTGACTTAATCACAACATAGGAAGACTGACTCTATGTCTGTGCATATGCTGAAGCAAGAGTCAACGACTTCTAACTTTGGCCTCTATCTGTAATTTTCCAATAATTTTATGACTTTTTCTATCATTTGCTTCATAGTATTCCTGTCCATTTTCTATTCAGTGATAGTGCAGTGTATTTAAATTGTTTTACATCTTTAATGTTAAAACATTAGAACACAATGAAGCCATGCAAAATTTCTCCATGAACAAAGGAGTTGGGACAATTCTGACTGGGGTTTTTTCACCACTCTTTCTGGTTCATTTTAACTGGCTGGCATATGCCTGCTTTAGGTATTTTCCTTTAGAAAAAATGATTGAACTCTGAGCTTTTGGAACACTATAAGGAATCAGTTTTATTGTGGGATGGGATAATAATCCTTTTGGTAGCACTGACTTTCATCCATCTGACCCAAACTGATGTCTTCACATGAGAAGACATTAATTGAGATTTTCTGGAGTAAACCAGCTGCCAAAAGCTGCAAAAAAAGCTGGAAAACATTTTCACTGTTCAGAGTGAAGAGAGTTTGAATATCAACATGGACAGAGGGAAGCCAATAAAGAAATAAAGGCTTCTGAAAATCCCACACATTCAAAAATGATGGAAACTGCCTTTTACTGGAAAGTATATTATATCACAGTAACACAGAAAGCTTCATGGGGTCAGGGTGACCTTTGAACCTAATAAAAGTCAGCAAATCTGTCATTATTTATTTTTTGACACGGCTGTATTTAACTATACAGTGGTTAAAAGTTTTCCACTGTAAAAATTTTGTCTCCAAAATACTTGTGGCCAATAGAAGGTGAAAACTCAAAAGAATAAAAAAAAATCTCTGTAATGTGTTCAGCCTTTCTGTTTTCTGAGGATTTAAAACTAAAATATTTTTTTATTATTATTATTTAATCCGAATTAATTGGTTGCATGTATCAGTTACACGAAACTTCTTAGTTTCCTATATATTTGTCTGTTGCACATTTTGTTCTTCTGACTTACTTTAAAAATTAAATTAAATCAGAAGAAGTTTTATATTAGTTTTTATACTAAAAAGTAATAGGAATGGTTAACTTAGTTTCTTATTTTTGATGTTTACAGCAATTACCTGGCATTGCTAGCACAAATACATCTTTTAGTTGTTGTGGATTCACTGACTGATAAGTCAAATTTTTGCTGTCAGTCAATTTCTGTCAGCAGCTGATTGTGTGGTAAATTCCCTGTTTTCCTGTCATGATCAAATCCAATTAGTTACTATCCAACTTCTCTCCTGTTGCTTTCTTTCTAGACCTTCGAAAGAGCAGAGCATCTTCACAGACCAAACACTCAAACTACAGCTCGCAGTCTTAGTTTCGGCCATAGTGACGGGCATGGTCGAGGGACTCACTCCCACGCCCACAGGGAGGCCGCCGCCAGTTCACCCTCCACCCAGCAGACTCATGGTTCACAACGACCTGCACACCAGGATAAAGGCCTGTCTGATGTTTCGGATGGAAGAGTTCCCTCCAGTTTAACCAGCACCCTGGAGCACATCATAGGTCAACTGGATGTTCTCACTCAGGTAAGCAGAAGATGTGCTGATCTGTAATGACAAACATGTGGTTGTGCCTGACACCAACTCGCCTAAGAACAAAAATATCTTGAAAACTATGCATAGAGACGGTTCAGCAACTCTGACAGATAAGATTTCATTTCTTAAACTTATAGCAACATTTATTTATTAGCAACCACTATATCTATATTAAGATATAAAGTGAAGCATCACTGGTTAAATTACATGTAGTATAGCTGCCTTTAAAAAAAACTAAGCAAGAAAAAAAGCAAACAGAAATATAAATTTATACTTTTGCTTTTTGCTCCACTCCAAGCTGGCGTCTGTTAAGGTTTCTGTAATTGTCCCTTTATAATAGTCCCATAATTGCTAACTCACCTCACTTCACACAGAAATCTTTTTGTTTTTTCTGCACTGACTCACTGTGCTGGTGTGTCTAGTTAGCCTCCACTCTCAGTGTGAGCGTCTGGTGAAGGCAAGGCACAGTGTGAAGCCTGAGCCTGCAGCACTAAAAATAGATTATCGAACAAAACAGAAAAGGACAGCAACCACTTTAAGCCCTAAAAGCTCTGCTTCTTATCAATTTGTGTTCTTTTAAGCACCACATAGTTTTTTGTTACATCCATAAGTGGTTTTTAGTGATGTGCGATCACTAAAAAAGACGAATAAGAGATGGAGGACATTTTAGACTCTTGCTCCACAAGGACACAACAGATTTCAGATTTTTGTCAACAGAATTTTAAATAGTAATAGTTGAAGCTGGTTTACCAGATTAATGTAATGAAGCTGTGCTCTTGCTTTGGCCTCATACCTCTTTGCATGTCCTGATTGTGATTTGATTTTTTCCTGCAGGTTTTTATTACTTTGCACTTTATGGTTCAATAATAATAGCTACCTCCTGACATGGGACAAGCCACCCACCAAGGTTAATCCTTAAATGTCTTTTATTTAATTCACTCACCAGTGACTTTACTTTTTCTAGACAGTGAGTCCTCTGTGTGTGGAGATTTTCCATTGTGGGTCTTGGATTTAAGTTAGTTGTGCCCTAAACATGTGTTTATTTATCAAAGGAAGAAGCCAATTCATGGTGAATTTACCCACTTTGTCTTTTTCTCACAAACTTCTGAAACTACCTTATTTTTGGTTTTTAAAGGTATATCATGTATTTTCCAGTCACATAGTGCCATTTCAAAAAAAACAAAAAACAAATGCTGTATCAAACATAGCTTAAAAGTTAGTTGATTATGTAATTTGATGCCTTAAAATGCCTTCTGTCTCTTTAAGAAGCTCCTCCTCTTTCCAACACTTTGCTTTCACCACTTCATCACAACAATGTTTCTCACTACACTGTTGAGAACCAGTCTTAGAAATATTGGACTGGGCTTCCCATCACTGTCTATTACTTGAAAAATCAGTTACCTTAACGAGAAATATTGTAATGTTTTGATGTCACAAGATCTTGTACAATAGTTACACTTCTACTTTATACTTAGTAAAAGATAAGTCAATCAATATATGTGTAAAGGCATCAGACCCTCATGTAAGAGCTGAGAAACACCAAATCAAATGTATTTGATTTGCAAATATATTTAAGTTGTTTAGATTTAAAGAAAGGTCAGTATAAGTTGTTATTAATAATTCATGATTCCATTTTAAATAATGCACATAGGTCTTAGATTCAACTCCTAACTGTGTTAAAATGGACCTTTGCAGGATTTATCAAGCAGGTAATTAAGGAGGAAGTGATCTGTAATTGAAAATCGATAAAAATAACAATGTGGTAAAACATCTCAATATCAAAGAGTTAAATTTAACTCGTAACTTTCAGATACTTCCATATCCTTGACTTGACTTTGTAAACCTTTCTCTGACTCAGCAAATACAGATACAGTTTTCAACAATCTGGCATTTTTCTATGATGATGTTTTTTTCTAAATGCCATGCAGTTGCAGAAGTCCCAGTCTAATTTAGTCATGTTCAAGCAATGTTTTGAAATGAAACCCTGATATGGTCTCCCGGATGATGACAAATATGTGAGCGAAATGCACAGAGGAGGTCACATGAGAGCAACCAACTTGGATCTGCAGCAACCACTTCACTCTTATGAATTAGTTTGGAAAAAACAGACTCATTAGATCAGCAAAATTGCCCACTTGCCTCAAAGTTTGGTTATTTCTAACAACTTAACAACTTCTCTAAACTATTTCCACCTCGCAGACTTGTTGACAAACTCATGTGGGGAATCCATGTTGCTATGTTGTTGATATTAAACAGCCATCAGGAGTTGAAATTTAGTCTGGTCATCTTAAAAAAAACAGAACCCAAATTTGTTACCAAGTAATTATATCCTTGGTGAACCTGCATAACATTGTTTTTCTTCTTTTCATCAGTGAAGTTTTGATGGGACTATTAGACTTATTTATTTGGACGTAGACATGCATCGTTTGCTAGTAAACTAACATTTTGTAAAAAGGTGAGACACATGATCACTTCTATTGCTTCAACACTGAGCTCCAGGGCAAAACTACTTACATCATTAAGAGCCTTCCTTTTTCTGTGGTTGACCAGAAACAAAGTTTTTCTATTTGTTTCTCAGTTTTGTTTTTTTTATCTCTTTGTTTTTACGTGTAATGTTCTCATCTTGCCACATCTAGATGAAAGGGTTGCTCTCTCCTCATGTATCACCATTACCAGATTTCTTTACTCTGACTTTCAGACTATTGTAACTTTCGTCATCCCAAAGTTATGCGACTTTCTAACAGAGGGCAGTAATGCTGAGGGCAACAGCTCACTCTATTTTTAGGAGCATAAAGATTTGGTTTCCACTCCAGATGAAAACCATAGGGCTGTATATTGTTGCTGGTGCCTCGGGGACACGTGCAGATGCAGAGTCTCAGACACAGACACCAATCCCTGGCTGTGTTGGGGAGTGGGGAGCTGCTGCAGGTCGGGCAGATGAACAAGTTGGTATTGATCCTGAAAATGGAGACAAGCAGAGTGAAAGAAAGTTTTTTTTTTTTTTTTTTTTAAAAGGGTGAAATAACAGGAGATGTTATCTTTTTGAACAAACCTAATGAAAACATCTTTCACCCACTCAAATTTGAATCTGTTGCTCTGTTGTGGTAATATTGCATTGTTTGATCATATTTTGGTTTCAACAACATTTTCTGGAATCCTTATTACGTGTTAATTCCATCTAGGGCTGCATAATGTATCAACTTTATATCACTGCTGTGATTTGCAATATTGCAATTACAAAGGAATGCAAAGATGCAATATGTAAAATATTGATTTCTATATAAGCCTGTGCCGTAGACGATCAGTATCTCAACAATGTTTTTGTTATTTAATGCAACTCAGTTGTAAATTTCAGTAATGTTTGTGTTTTGAAAATTTGTTTTTCAGCTAAATATAGAAACTGAAAATGTCACTATAAACTCCTCCTTGAGATCGCTGTGGAGTTTAGCACACAGACGACACAATCATTTAAGAGTAAACGAGACTAAATGGTTTGTACATTTTTACCCAGATAATCTATAGCTTATTTATAAAAAACAATGCACTTCTTGCACCAGCTTGATGGAGCACTTTAATTGATATTTCCAGCTACAATTATAAACACAAATCATCAGTTAATATTGTTGTTTAGAGAGATTAAAATATTTCCAATCTTAACCTACTATTCTTTATGTAATTTATAAAAACAGATTTGAGGCTATAGAATCAGGACATAACATGGTGATTAACTTTTCTTCTGCACTGCTATTTTTGATGGAAATTTGGAATACAGAGGCCAGATCACACATTCAGTGAACGACATGTCTCAAGTCATATAATGATATATTCATGTCTTCTAGGTGTGGAAACAAAACCAATTCCTGACTAACTTTATGAAACCAGTAGGGAACCAGCTCTAACATCTGCTACTGAAATTGGTTTAGTGGAAAACCCCTACATAATTTTTTTTCCTGAAACCTACCTATAAATTAGTGTAATTGTTATGGAAACCTGGTATGCCACCTCTAAAAAACAGAGAAACAAAATTAGGCAAATTTAATACCATGGGATTTGATGTAAAGCCGTTGCTGTTATTGTCGTGAAAAGGCGAGGATAACTTCACTACGTTGTAGCTAAATATTTAATCATGAAACAAGATTTTTGTTGTTGTGTTTCTCCCTGCTCGGCTGCTTGGTAATAGCATAGGAAGTGACTCATCTTTCCAGAAATGAGGAATGTCTAAATTACTCTTGCTGGCACAGGAAATAACATATTGAAGATTTTCAGGTCAAGACATGCTGACATTCTTGGATGTTTCTGCTGCCCCAAACCTGAACATCTTCATTTGTCTGGTTGAATTTACCACTGTGTCCATCAAAAGCCAACATTAGCTCAGAAAATAAGTTACTGTTGGTCAAAAATGGAAAAGGGATAATTGACACTTGTTTCTTAGAGAGAGTTAAGCTAACTGTATCACCTTTTTACTACTTTCTCATTAAAACTACACTCGAGCCAGTTTGTGTGGTGCACCAGTTCATTTGGGTGTTAGCAGAAATAGCTCAGCCAAACAAATGACAGCAACTCAGGTTGATGGTGAAGACAGCTTACTGAAATACAGTGGACAAAAATGTCTTGTTGAGTTTAGAGAACAGTAGACTGACTCATCTGAGATGACACCAAGGCAACTGATGTCAAATGACCTCTTCTTATATCTCAAGTATGCCAAATCCTCTTAGATTGCACAGCATTCAAACTATAGTGTCTGAATTTTGCATAAACTAAACAAAAGCATCCATCCGTAGTCAGACTGAGTTGACATGAGGCCAACTCAGACAACTCTCCAGCAACTGGAGATTTGTCTGCGTGTCATAAAATCATGATCCGGTTGTATTAATTTGTAGTGAGGTGCATCCCTACCCAATGACTCTCCCACTCAGCTCCTCCAGACTAGTGACAGCAGCAAGTAGCAAATACCTGATGGAGCGATCCATTTTCATAGACTCTCATATGAACTGTTACTCTTAAAGAGACAGAGGGCCAATTCCAAGGCATCAAATTGCGACGTCAAATTTTTTTTTAAGTCATGTTTGGTATGTACAGCATTTTTATAACAACTGAAGGTTAGATAGATATTTAATTGAGCTACAAAATGGCATTACATGCCTGGAAAATACATAATACTGCCACTTTATGGTTTTTAAAAACTGAAAAATATAAAAAAATGTTGAAAGGACTTAAAACCAGGACCATTTCACTAAATACTATCTTCTCAGAAATAGAACCTGGTGACTCCTCTGATAAACAGGTTCAGATAGCCCTGTGCTGAAATACAGAAGCACAAACACACAACAAATGCTGTCAGTGTTGGATGATGCTCAGAGGAAAAGTATGTTGTACTGTGATCTCACTACCCACACATGTCGGCCCTGGATCGGAAAACGACTTTCTTGTGTCGTCTGTGTGCAAAACAAGACGAGCTGCATACCAACAACAGAGAATCTTGCATTGCCATCTCAAGCAGCAGATTTAAAAAAAGAAAAAAGAAAAAACAGCTGGATCATCTAGCAGACAGAATCTCTGTTTTGAACATGTGTCTGCATTACCATTATAAAGTCATTTCTCTCACTCTGATTCTGTGCGGCTCCTCTCTAACGTCCATCTGTACCCTCTCTGGTCCCCGCCCCCTTTCTCCACCCAGACGGTTTCGATCCTTGAGCAGCGGCTGACGCTGACGGAGGACAAGCTCAAGGAGTGTTTGGAGAACCAGATGGATATTGGACTGCATCTCCAAAATCGAGACGAAGGAAGAAGGTGGCCAAGTCAGTACTGACGATGATTTAAAAGAAAGACATTCTGAAAAAGAGTTTCTGATGCTGCAAACGCAGCGCAAAAAAAATAGAAAAATGCCGGCGTACAAATGCAGTCAAACAAGCTGCATAACCAAACAAATGCTTTCTGAGCTTTCTTGCTGATACACAGGTTATTTCACACAGAGATATCAGAGGTGAAAGAGTTGAATATTAGAGAAGTTCCTCCACAGCAGTGCTGAGTGTGCAGACTGTTTTCTGCTGACAAAGGCCTTGTCCCCGTCTATACGCGCATATAATGTGTGGGTATGTGTGCAGACTGCCTGTAGTCAACCTTTATGATTCTCTTTAACGTTTGCATTTCAATTTGCCAAGTGAAGACTGAGATTAAATGCTCAAACTTCAGTCGCAACATGCATGCATAGAAAGAATGAAGCCATTATAGCAACTTAGTAAATAATTAAACGTAGCTACAATTAAAGAGACAATGCAGTGCCTTTCATTTGCCTGATAATGGTTACCGTCGTAAAGAAAACAACCAAAACAACAATTACAAGATATTGGAGGCCTTGATGTATTATTGGGAACTTTAAACTTTTGTTTATATTTTAATTTTCTTAGTTTTGGGTTTAAGCATTGCAGATGGGGCCGGAAAAATCCTGGAGAAATGAAAGAATTAGTTTATTTTCTGTCAAGAAGTGTTGACGGTCAGAAAATTTTTAATTGCTGTATAGTTTGGCTTTTCTTCTGAAAAATGTAATATAATTTTATTTTATTTTCTGTCTTTCTGTGCCTCAACCATTTATTCTCTGAAGTAATTGTTTTTGTTTCCTCTCTCTAAATAAATGTCTTACATTCTCAACCTTAATTAGGAGGTTCTGGGTCTTGTTTCGTAACAGTGAGAGCTGTTTGTGTGCTGAGTCAATGAAAATGTGTCTTCTGAACCAGATTAATGAAGTCATAGGTTATTTTTTACTGCTGTGGTCCTCTGAGCTGCAACAGTTACTGGACGGAGGTTGACTTTCCTGCTTTAATTGTCCCTAGAAGAGAGATTAAGATCATGAGCTGTGAGCTGCGTCATCAGCTGATCCTCGCGAGTAATTTCCAACCCTTGCTTTGCCAGAATCTATCCAATTATATTTTACAAAGCACAAAAAGGCACTAAAAGTGTGTTTAAATCTAAAAATCCTTATGTTCATACCGAGAGCAGTAATTTTATTATTAGAAGCTTCAAATGAGCCAAAGCTTCAGTTTTGGTCACAAAGTAAAAATGTTCTCTGAGTTGAGCTTGAACAATCCATCTTATTTTAATTTATTTCTTATTTTTTCAAGAGGTAACAATGTGCAGTTGGTTGGTGAGTCAGGTTGAGTGGAAGGGAATCAGATGTGAGAAAACGACATGAAGAAAATATTAACAACTGTTCCTTTAAGACGCGACGCTGCCTCTGCACTGATGGAAAAAGAAGAAAATAAAACCGGAATTCTGGAGCTGTGCTGCCGGGCCCACTCTCTTCCTTCCTGTCTGGGGCTCGCGGACTCACACACACACACACACACACACACAAAATGCTCTCCAGCCAGAGAAAACAGCTCCCTTTGCTATGGGCCTCAACCAGACAGCCTGCCAGGAGCTCCGGCTGAAGGGGGCTGAAAGAGAAAGCTCAATAACGTGTGTGTGTGTGTGTGTCTGGGTGTGTGTGTGTGTGTGTTTGAGTTCTCTCATATGGATGACTTTACTAGGACCAAGATTCAGTTTAGATCATGAGAGCGAGAAGATTATGGGTTAAGTGAGAAACTTCTTTCAAAGGTTGAGTTATTTTAGATTCTGGGACAAATTTTTCTGATTTCTCCTCCTAAGATTTTAGTTTATATTAGTTTCATCGGCTGACACAGTTCTACTAAAGCCCCCAATAATTTGCGTGAGTTTCTAAGTATTGATTCTTGTTCATTTTAAGCTGTAATGTCAAAGTTTTTTCCATAATTAAAGCCAGATTGTCACTCATTAACATGAACTCTGTCTTATTCATCTGCCAACACGCTTCATTCTAAGATTTTAAATCATATTTGTCTGGTGCTATGAAGAAATTGGGATAATATTTAGTTTTTTAGTTTTCATGTCTCTACAAGATGCATTGCGTGATGTAGCTTTCTCACAAGTACCAATGTTGGTTGTGTCTGTGGGTGAGAGAAAAAGAAATTGTGGGGAAGGCTGCTGCTTTATGTAGCCCATGTGTGGCCACATGTGTGTGTGTGGGGGTGTGTGTGGGTGTGTGTGTGTGTGTGTGTGTGTGTGTGTGTGTGTGTAGGAGGGGGTTGGTTATCCTATGAGGAGAACATCTGGATATATTTTCACTGGTGTGCTGTAGCTGAAGCTGCTTTTGGCCTCCTTGTGTGTGTGTGTGTTTTAGTGCTTTTCTAGTTCAGTGTGTCAGGTCTTTGCACTCTTTCTGTCCTTTTTATTGTTCTTCCTCGAACATTATGTTATACTATGACTGTCTTATGCAATAGAGATAACACCCAGACCGCTGCTGGATGATTTATCAACAACCTATCCACGTTATTCGGCCAGGGTGTATTCTTAGAATCACAAGTTAATCCAGCTACTTGAACTTTGAACTGGCTGAAACACTGACGTGTACATTTTGTAATCATTCTTAATAACAGAAAGGGAAGTTGTGGTTAAATCGATGTGTGAAATAAGTGTTTCATGCTCTCTGCCTTCTGACAAATTTCCGAAGAACGCAAGTGGAGTAACTAAGAACAGCCCAGAATTCAAAGAAACATTTTTTTTCTCCAGTACTTCAAATATTGAATAAAAACATACCTGTATACATGTGTCATTTAAAACTCAATTGCATTTTTTTATGACACACTCCACTTAAATGGGATAGTGTTGAATGTAACATTTAGAAAACAGTTCAAGCTGTCTCTTCCTTAAGTATAAGATAATCATTTCATTAGTAGCTAATACTGCATGACCGTTTCCTTCGTAGTTTTGTAAATGGACAATGATGTGCCTTGCGCTTTAACCTTTATGAGATTTTGTTCCATTACAACAACAAACTTTAAAACTTTTGTGGGCAATTTGAGGTCAAACCCTGACAAGACGAATAAGACGTATCTGTGGAGTGAAAACTTTAGCTGAATGTGAGAATTGAGTCCATTTTGATAAAGAAGTGAAACCACTGTAAATTGCTTTTTATATTAGCTTTATTTCTTCTGGTGAAATCTAGTGTGGCATGTGCTTGTGTTCAGATAACTTCCCCAAATAATATCCAGTGTCACAGAATTATTCAAAAAGTTTAGAGTGATTAATTTATTCCTGAGATGGGTGAAGTGAAGGTGTCAGAGATTAGAGAAAGAGGAGCAACATGAAGATCAGGGCCTTTAATTCTAACACTGAGTTATGTTTCCTTCTTATTATGATTAGTAGTAAATGTAACATTTAGACAGACGTTTTCAAATAACATGGGATCGCTCCCTTCAATGTCTGTTGTTTGATTTTAAAGCAGAACGTTGATATTCAAAGAATAATATTTATTGGTCTTAAAATTGTTTCTTAGACTCTTTCTTTTAGGATTTTGCTCATTTTTATAAATGTCAGAATAGTTTCACCTCTTTATGAACTAAACAGATAAGAAATATTATTAGTGGTTAGAGTTAAACATTTAATCCATTCTTCCCCTCTGACATCTCTGCAGTATCAGATTTCCTTGTGGGTGTTTACTCTTGGATCAGGCTGAAGGCTTGAGGGTTTTCGATCAACTTTGTGAAGTCCCACTAACGTCTTGTAGTAAATACTAATCCCTCTGTGCAGTGTTTGCCCCACACATTAACTTGTCTTCCAGTTACCCAAGATCAACATCTTGAAAAGACATGAAAGCAAAGCAGCTGTGTTACTGGTTCATCGTAACTTATAGAAACTGGAGCCTTTGTCCTTCTGTGATCAAACCTCCCCTTATCCTCGTCTCTTTCTCCACCCCTTTTCCTTCTTGCTTTTACTACCCCCATGCTTCTCCTACGTTCTGAAACCGGGCCCTGCTTGAAAGTTGAGGTTTGGCGCTCTACTCTTCAAGCCCACGCTGCAACTTCAGATTCAGAACCGTCTTTTAAGTCCAGCCCTAAAGGGAAAGCAATCTTTTTTTTTATTCTGCCTCATCTGTTCTACTACCAGAGCCACAGTTTCTAACTACAATTGTAATAAGTAGAATCATGAAAGCTCCAGGGTTTTGTGTTGCCACTGCCAAAGTAACAAACACAAAACTAGGTTACACACACTTGAAGGTGTGTAAAGGTGTGCTAAGTGTTTAAAATAATGACCTGCTTCACAGCGACCAAGCCCATAAAGCAAACCTGGTGATAAGTCAGAAAGCACCAGCTCCTCTCTGAAAGCCTCGCCTCACCCAAACCTCACCTGGATCTCCAAACTTCCGAAACACACCCATAATTTAAGACGACCAACAATGAACCGTGTCTGCAAAGTTCACAGGTTTTTGTGCCGTGTGCACAATGAGCTCACTGTCTTATATAAACACAAATCTAACATTATGACTCTGGATGTCAAGGTTTTAGATACAAGAAAGTCATAAATTCAAAGTCCACTCCAAGGTCAGCCTTACTCCGGGACAGAAGTTCACAAATTAACTAGACAAAAGGAAAAGTTTATTACTAATTTTCAGTCAGGGAGAGTATAATGTTACATGTTTCTGAAACCATACTCTGATGACTTATTTTTATCATCAGAAAATCATTCCTCTTTTTGGTTTATACAAGTTGATATTTAAAAACAAATACACAGTAATAATCTGAACATTTACTGAGGGAACACAGCAGCATGCAGAAACCTGAGGAGGAGCTTGATGACTATAATGTCAAAGATTTTTTTTATACATTTTGAGAGCTGAAAAGTGTCAATAAAATAAGATGCATGTCTTTTTAAATATCTTTTTTATTCATTACATTTTTAAAAGAAACATCTTTTATCTTTACTCGCTTCGCCTTGCAGGGTCAGAGAGTTCTGGCGTGTGTTTCCAGCTGTTGAATGAAAATATTTTTAAATCTAAATCTGTCAGCATATGAATAATGTTGGGCTTCTTTGTATGTTTTTCTGTGCTTCAAAATAATTTCAGGTCGGTCTCTAAAAATAGATTCCTGTTGGAATGATCTCTCCATCATTATTGAAAAGGCCTAAACGATCCAGATGTCATCTGAAATCTCGTTCTTTCAGTTGTGATCCATCTCTTGTTAACACAGATAGGATTCGGATCATGAACTCTCCTGTAAATAGAGAGGTTCACATTTTGGCTCGACTCTGTCTTTATGAGACCATAAAAGCACCTGCAGCACTGAGGATGAGACCACAACCTATCAATCCATTTCCTGAATCCCTGACAACACTCATAAATAAAAACAAAGCTCAAAATAACAGAGACCAATTCATTCTTTTCTTTCAATTACCTTTAAAAACTTGAATAAGTAGAAAAGTGTGCAGAAAAATGTCAAGACATTCAAGTCAAATACTGAAGCAAAACGTTTTTCATGTCTGTTTCAATGTTTTATTTTATAGCTATGTTGTGTTACAGTTTCATAAACGACGTAAATATATAAAATGAACAGGGCACCAGAAAAAGAAACCCGTTAAACATTTGCAAGTTGTTTATTGTTCTTGCATGTATTGACCACTTATTGACACCGGTTATAAACATCCAGCTTACAACAGCAGCCATGCAGCCGAAATGAACTTGTCCATCATTGAGAGCCAGGACTCTGCACGGCTTCTTTTTCGACTTCATTTCACTCCCAATTTTCACACCTTCCTCATCTCTGTTGTCTGGCTGTATTTGAATTTAGATTAAATCAAAATGAAAGTTAAAGGAAAGCCATCATCTTGCTTGTTTTTAGCAGTGATGTGTCGATGGGCTGTTCCACCACTTTTCTTGGTTGAGCTGAGCTTCGGCATCGGGAAGAAAAGTGAAAGAGACGGAGGTAGAACAGCTCGTTAAAGTGTGATTTGGCCACCTTTGACCATCTGTCTTTATGGTCCTGACTTTGAGCTTTCACTGTGATATAATGGGGTGAGGTTTGCAGTTCATGTGCCAGAGTATGAAAGAGAGGAAAATGGGGAGGTGAACAATGAGTTAACATATGAGTCACCTCAGTGGGTTTACAACCCTGCCTATATAGGTACAGTGTGTTTGTTCAGCATGGGGATTAGATACACTAGGCAGGGTTATGGTTTCTTTTTACAAAAGACATAAATGCCCAGTGAAGAGAGTCGTTGTGTTTGTCTTGTTGGTGCTGTGATTGATTAATTACTCTTACAAGCTGTGAACAAATACTTTAAATGTGTTTTTTGTAGATAATCCAATCTGAGAGCAGCAGAGGGATTTTTAGGGCATGTTTGGTGAGTCATTTTTATGGTGGATTTCCTCGGTTAATGTTTCCGTTGACAGATTGGTTCATACACCTCATTCAAACCCAGCTTAAGGCCTGTGCTGTTCTTGGCCAATATATTTTATTTCACTGTTGCTGCTTTTGATTTTGATCTCAAATTTTCTGTAATTTCACTAAGCTTAGAATCTGATGGGGGTGTACTTTTTTTAAATTTTGTAAACTTTGGGCTTTTACCACAACAATATAGATTTTAAATGATGTAAAAAAAATAGAAAAAAAAAGACTCTTTTAAGTATTTATATCATGTTCCTGGTCTGCTGAGAGGATCAAATCAGAGCTGACTTTTCCTCCATCCAGGGCTTGTACGAGTCAAGGTTCAAGAAAAGGGCAGCTAAAATCAGTGCAGACCCCACACAACCTGGACACAAACTATTTAGGATTTTACCTTCAGGTCAGCACTACAGAGACAGTTTGTTCCCCCAGGCTTTCTCTCTGACAAACACAATAAACACATTACAGCCAGAGCAGTCAGCTCGTCTCCTGTGAAACTAAATATTTGTACAACCACAAATTACCTCCTTTTTTTTTCTTTATTTCTAAAAACAAATGGATGTAAATACACATGCATTTACATAGAGATCCTTTTCTTCTTAATTTTAGTTATTTAATATATATATATATGTGTGTGTGTGTGTGTGTGTGTGTGTACTAGAAGTTTATTTCACTTACTTAATTTAAATAAAATATGTTATTGGGTTTTTTCAATATTAGGAAGAAATAATGCATTTTGATAAATGTTTAAACTTTGGGAAAGTGAGGAATAATTGAAAGAACATAGAAATATGTTCTTTTCAGGACACAAAAATTATGCAAATGCATTTTAAAAGAATTAATCAAATATGTAGTTTTAGCACATAAAAATATATTTGTTTTAAATTTAAGGTAACTTGATTTCTACAGAGAATTAGTCACTAGATTGCATTTTCTGTTAAAGGTCTAGCAGTAATTTGTTTTTTTATATATTAAAAGTTTGAAATTAAAGAGCAGAGACGTGATAAGTTCCTACGGCTGTTTCATGTGTTGAGAACGTGATGTTTGAGGGTAAAGGAAACAGAGGAGGAAATGCCAGCGTTTGTGTTGGAGACGGGTGGCCCCCTCGTTCTGTTTCTAAGGTGAGTGAGTTTAAACCACAGTCTGCTGCTTTAAAGATGCCGCAGACCAAAAGGAAATCTGGTCTGCAGAGATGGTTAGAAGGAAGATTAATTATTTGATTAACTGCATTGATTTATACAGGATAAAGTACAGCAAATCCTATGAAACGAGGATGAATTGCAGCTGCATCTGCTGTTTTAATGAACAGGTACTTTTTATGTTGAGGACATAAAACTTAAATCCCTCTGGGCTGTCATGCTGACTTTCCTGAACTCTGACTGTAATTTTCCAGAGATTAGAGTTGATTATCTGCTTTAGAAATCGTCTGTTTAATATTGTCCAAGAGTGAAATACTCCAGATGGAATGAAAAAAAAATCTGATTAGCTTTACAGACAGTACAACGTTTCCTTTTATTGACATTTATTAAAACAGAGAATACAAGTTTTATACATTGCACATGTGTTTCTGCTTTAAGAAATAGTGTCAGGTGTAACAACCTGAGTGGTATTTCAGGGGGTCTACCCCACCAAAGCAAATTAAGTGCCAGAGACTGATGGTGAGACATCAATTAAAAACATGTGTGCTGTGAAAGCTAAACTTGCCTGAGATAGAACAAGAAAAACAGAGAACCTCTACATTAAGAAAAACAAAAAAATGAATTAATAATAAACTGATTCATGCGACAGATATATCCACATTTTTGGATTATTTAAGATCTCCTGATGTTTATGGATTTGAAACCTAATCAGAGGTCAGAAAATCTGATCATCAATATAAAGGGCAGGGCTTTCTTCAACACCTTATGTTAGTGGAAAAAAAAAACAATAATATATATTAATGTATATACCATAATTTAAGTGAAATAGTCTGCCAGTGGAGTATTTCACCATTTGGTTGATCTGGCTAGGAAATTATTTTTTATGCATATCAAGGATATTATTGACGTAACACTAAGTTCTTATATCTTGCTGAAAAGCTACTTGTAAATTAGATTTCTCTTATTTCAAGTGTACCAAGATAATTGAAGTAGAAACCAGACAAAAACACTTGGTTAGATTGAGTTTTGCAGTGTAAAAAGTTAAATACTAATGCTCAGTTGTAAACCAAACTTTATTTATTTATGAACTAGCTATTAGTAAACAAAAGAGCTTAAAGGAACGACTGCTTGTGTTCATGTTTAGAATAATACGTGTGAATACTGTTACCCACTGGGTTGCTGACATTACAAAACTCTTATTTTTTCTCACTGTCAGCAGTGAGAAAAAATAAGCACTGCTTATTTTTCTCTAAATCAATGATAATAATTTGGTTAAGTAATGGAGTGAAGTTGTGGAAAAGACAAAAACACGCACACTCTTCCTCAGAGAGCCTGTCATTGTCCATGAAGGGAGTGGAAACACAAGAGCCCTAAAGTTTAAGCATGTGTCCGAGTGTGTGTTTGTGTTTGTGTGTAAGTCACTGGAGAGGATAAAGAGCCATTGTCTGCAGCTGGTGCATCCCCCTACTCCTCCTCTGTGCAGCTGTGAGGAAATCAAACGCTCTTCTTTTCCTCCTCTCTGCCTCTGTCACAACCTGCTGATGCCTTATTAGGTCATCCATGGTGATGTGTTGTGATGGTTTGTTTAGAGTAGTAGGCAAACCGCCAAGCTATTACATATGGAGGAATATCCTACATGGCGCCATCGTTACGCTCAGTAAGAATATAAAATAATATATTTTTCATTGGTAGCAGAGATTAAGAGAATTGATGGGGAAGACTCTGGATTAAAGTAAAAAAAAAAATAGAAAATTGTTGAGATGACGAATAAATGCAGAAGAGTTTTTACTTAAAATGAATCACAATTTCAGCTGAAGCATTAGTATGCTGCCTTGGATATATATATATTTTTTAGAAGATACAGTCCAGCTTTTGTAAGATTTCTCCTGCTAATTTTGATTCTTTTCTTCCAAGCCTTCCTGCTACAGGCATTCATTAATTATTTAGGCCTATCATAGGAAGAGAAGCCACGTCATTTGCTTGTTTAGGAGAGCAGTCACTGTAAAACAGGGACTTAATATCATTTTAATGAAAGACAAAAGTCATTAGATCTGTCTTATCAGATATTAGTGTGAGTACATTAATAAATCAGCATTCTCCTGGGGCATAAAATAGATCCTTACTTCAACTTTGAGATGTTCTGTGACAGGATGAATTAAAAGCTGAAAAGTATAAAGCAGATCAGCTTTTGTTTGCACAATTTAGTCCACCTGCTGCAACATATAGATCTAGAGTGTTTTCCTGATCATAAAGTACGCCATGCAGAATCTGAAGATTCAAAAAGAGCAGGAATCCATCATTTGATTATGTGATTTGTTCTGTGATTGCAGAGAATAAAAGCTGTCTCTCAGTGAGAAAAGCTTCCAGTAATTTGTTTAAGAGTGTAACATGTGGAGGTGTATGCAGTGGGTGGCCTGAGTGAGAGCGTTCAGAATACCAAAGAAAAACTGGTAATTGTGCTTTAGGAAGCACATTTTCACAAGGCAGTTCAGTTTGGTTTAGTTTCTCTCTGGGAGGTTGAAGAAGAAAACTAAACTCTTTATCACTGTCTTCATTTCCTACTCAAGGTTTTAAATTTGTGAAACTAAACACAAAACATACAAGTATAGAAGTATCTCAGCTACTTTACGGTGAAACCAAGTAAACATAAATTTAAATTTGAGGCCAGTAACATGTTTTATTGAAGCTGAATTAGGAGCAAAACCGGACTATATAAGTTCATATAAAGAGTTTTCCCAGTGTTGAAGTAAAATATAAAAAACAAGATTACAATTACAAAACATCAGGGCCGGATTAACAAGGATATGGGCCCCTTGGCTGGAAGCCATTTTGGTGCCCTATCCTTTAAACAAAAATAATTGTGCTACTGCAAATTAAAGTACATTAATATGTAGTACTACACATTAATATGTAGTACCTGTTCCTACATAATTCAGTAGGAACAGGTGATATCTACCAACGATGGTAAGTATGTTGTTCCCCAAAACATTATCACAACATCATAATTTTAAAATACTTGGATACTTTTTATATTCAGAAATCCCCAAATATTATTACAACTCCCCTGATATGGGCTGATGACTTTTATATCAAATGTAATGTCAGCAAAACACGCATTAATAAAAAAAATCTGTAGAGCCTAACAAAAAATATTGGAGCCCTGGACTACTGCAATCCCTTCTGACCCAGACAGTATGGTAATAGTAATGTACAAGACTATATTATGAAATAAAATCTTTGAAATAGTAATATCAGGCTCATGATCCAATGGACGTGCAACTGAGTCTGATTATTTTAGTCTGACTGCTGCTGGGAGGAAGGATCTGCAGTAAGGCTCCTTCCTCTCTGCATTTAGGATGCAGTAGTCTGTCAATGTGTTGGACGATTGCAAAAGATTGCGATAAAATATGTTGAAATGTTTAGTTGAAACATGACAAACTGTATACTAGTGAGTTAGGTAATAGTGGAAGTAGACTTCCACTATTTTAGTGAAATGTCATGACGAAATGTCCAGTCCTCTTTTCCAGGATTCTGTCCATTTAAAACATAATATCGGCGCATCTGTTTGAATTAGGACGTTCAGAAGCATGAATCGGATCATAATTTCTGAGAGTGTTATTCAGAGCCAGACCATGAATGGATGCTGGGTGATTAAAGTCGCTTGAATCTCTGCACCTTTAAATTTCTCAGCTCCTCCCTCTTCTCAGTGACAAGCCCGCAGAGCTTTTTCTTTAATGCATCCAGAGGAAATGACAAACCAGAGGCGCTCTGTGGGCAGGCATGTCCAATATTAACACTGATCCTGGGCTTTAGCCGCTGCCGTTCAGCCTCAACTCACATGTGACTGGCGCTAACTGGACATCTGCGGTCCCGCTCGTTACTCTGCGGACGCCCCGGGGGTGGGGGGCTGGAGTGGACTCGCTGAATGGACGTCGATGGACTGGACTGACATCCACTTCAGTCCGACTGAAGTGGAAGAGAAAGAGCGAAAGAGAGCTGTGCGTGTTGGAAGTTTCCTGCTCCAAACAGAGCGGCGGCGCGGTGTGCGTGTTGGATGCGTGTTGGATGCGTGTGGAAGTGCGTGTTGGGTGCGCAGCGCCCGCTGGAGCTGGAGCTGAAGCTGGAGCGGTGGTAGTGGAGGTGCTGGAGGTGGAGCGAAGTTTAACGCCGTGATTTTCTCTTTTTTTTTGTTTGTTTATTTTTCGCTCGATTTCCTCCGATTCTGTTGTGTCGCCATAATGTCCCGTAAGTGGACAGGTGGGCAAACGTTTCCCCGATGAAAACGGATCATTTGTGCAGAGGCTCAGTGATCGTGACTGTGATGATGATGTCGAGTAAGAGCGTGGAGTGGCTGCAGGACGAGCTGGAGTCCGGGGCCGGCGCGCTGCTGCTGCTGGACTGCAGACCCCATGAGCTGTACGAGTCGTCGCACATCGAGTCCGCCATCAACCTGGCCATCCCGGGCCTCATGCTGCGGAGGCTGAAGAAGGGCAACCTCCCCATCCGCTCCATCATCCCCAACAACGAGGACAAGGAGAAATTCGTCAAGCGGTGCAAGACGGACGTGGTTCTTCTGTACGACGAGGCGACGTCGGAGAGACACGAGTCCGGGCTGGGGAGCTCCGTGATGGGGCTCCTGCTGCAGAAGCTGCGGGACGACGGCTGCAAGGCTTTCTATCTGGAGGGTAAGAGGTTTATTTACATTCATCCTGTCGGATTTGAGGTTATAACTTGTCACTTTAAACAGCCAGGGTTCCAGCTGGTCCCTGAGCAACCATATAACATTTGTTAGGTGTTGATCCGCAAACTGAAGCTGTAATTAACTAGAAATGGGTCTGACCTTATGGCTTCTTCTCTTGATTACTAAACACAGTCTAACAAACCTGACCCTTCAACTTGAACTGCCTTCAAACTTTGATCTGCCTCGCGCGTTTTATTCCTCTAAAAAAAGCAAAAACTGAGTTTGTTCCAAAACTAAAACTACTCATGAATGCATGTTTGCGTAGACGCACCGTGCGTTTAGTAGAAAAAGCCCCGCCATGTTGTGCTCCTTCAGGAAAAGGCAAGCTTTTTTTTTCATGAATGGAGAGAGGACCCAGGACGCAGAGGCGTCCTTTAGAGAGATCCCCCAACTCCACATGAAAGAAAACGCAGCTTTTAAACCCGCCGGGTGCAGCGGAGTGGACCTGAGTGCAAGTGAGCCTCGGATAATGGATGTGTTTGACGGGGAGTCACAAGCTTGGCTGCCATTCACAAAAAGTCCACTGAGCTGTGAAAGTGTTGCTGCCGAGCCTGGTTGTCCTGATTCTCCGCAGCGCTCGGCTTTTCTCAATGGAGCGCGTCTGGCCGCGCTGCTCCATGCTGATGTTCAAGAAAATGACATGTCACCCTTTATCTCTGTGAAAGGACAGCCTGTTGTTTCAAGGAGAGCGAGAAACACACCTATGATTCATATTATAATCTATGATTTGCAAGACAAACTTGAAAAATATGGAAATGTCTTTCCTTGTTCCTGGCTGAATGAATATGACGAAAGATAAGTTTGTATTTAAATGATATCCAGTATTACAACCTGAATGTTTGTCAAAGAAGACATGCTTTTTCCAGGATTTTTCTCTATTTCTAACACACCAAATGTCCTTTAAATAATCTGTGTTTAGTATAAATTATTACATCTTAAATCTGAGAGGTTTCTGAATGTCATCGAATCCAGTCAGGTTCCACATTAATGCATTGGTAAGAAGCTCAGAATGGTAAATATTTTTCCTCTGATGTTCACTGTTCTATAAAGACTGGCAGACATTTTTTATTATTATTCTTTCAGCCCATAAAAGTATTGAATTTGCTTTTATCCTTGTCCAGGAATAAAAAAACGGAAAAATGTTTCTTTTTTGTTCGTTTCTTCTAAAAGTTTTAAAGATATTTATGTTTTAAAGATGTGGATGTTTAAGATGTAAGCATCTAAAACATCTAAAACATGTTTTAGATGTAAGCATCTAAAACATCCACCTCTGTTCATAGCTTTATTGTTTGCATTCAATCTTTTTACGCAAATGTGTTAAGTTGTTATAATTTTGTCCGCACGATAAATAGTAATCATCTAGAATGTTATAAAAAGTTCCATTACAAGACAAAGTTTGTTTCTTTTTACTTTTGTTATTCACAAAAGCTTGCCTCTGCCACCAGTGTAATCATGAAATACTTTACAGCCTTTACCGATTCTCCATCTTGGGAAACATTGAATAATTTATTCTTGTTGGTGCACAAAGTCTGGCTTTGTACACCAACCCACACTTGAATGACATCGTTTATCTTTGTCCTGACCTTGTCTTTCAGGTCTGATCTGCCATTTTTCCATTTTGAGAAATGTATTTTCTTTTTGTTATATAATTTGGAAAAAACAGTTCAAAAACAAAATGAAGGGATCTGCATCACATGTCCTTAACTGTTATCTAGTTACTCTTCAATGTACACGCTGGTAGTTGATATGGTGGGAATTGATTTTCCTCATACATGAGTGAAATTTTAAGAAAGTAAGACATGTTTTTAGTCTTTAATCAGCTTACAACTGGGCGTAGGGAAACTGGTTTATTCTGATTTCTGGCTAATTGATTGGTGCATCAGTCTAATCATTCTGAGCGACTGAGACAAATAAATGTTTAGTCACTAAAAGAAAACAGCAGATTCACTGTGCTTTGGTCCTGAGGCCAAACCCTGGACTGGTGGGTTTTTTTTTAACTGGCTCCAAATAAAACAAAAAAATAATTTAAAATTTTCACAAACAACAGTTCTCGTATTAAACATTACACACTATGTCGAAAGAAGCAATGATTAATGTTGGTTTTGAATCAGATCCAGTTTAGCGCCGTTTTTTTCCACACTTCCAAATCAGAAGCTAACTTCAGTGTTGTGTTGTCTCATAGTTTATGAAGCATACAGATAATAAAATGCAACACAAATGTTTTGGAGTTCGATGCCAAGATTTTATGAGGTCTGACAGAAAATCATCCAGGCTAAAGTAATAAGTATTAATTTTTCAGCTTTCACAATGTAAAAGCAAAAACAACAACAGCGAAAAATGCAGTCAAAGGAAAAAAACAAGCTTTAAGGATGGATATAAAAGAAAATAAACATAAAAAAGGACAAAGACTGCACAAAGCAACAGCATTTCAGCAAATGTATTTAATTACAATAATTAAAATCATAAAATGAAACTTATCACCCATAATATTTCAATAATAAAACAATTTCATACATTTTTATTGGAAGTCCCAAACATGAATGGTAGATCTAACAAAACAAGGAGTGTGAAGTCAGAGAAAACAGATATTAAATGAAGGGCTGCTGCATTTTTATCTTTATTTGGCTGAGATTCATCTGAGCTTTAGCCTTTATTTAACAACAGCAGGTTGGAACAGATCCAGTTAAAATGGATAGATTTAGAGGATGTCAGGGCCAAAAGGTCAAAGGTTCCTACAGACAAAGAGGCCAAAGATTTCTTGAGGACTTGAACTTGGCTTCATAGTTTGTAAAATGAACAACGTGATCATTAAAAAGGATGCAAGGATGCTGATAATTTTTTTTTTCCTCTTCATGCAGATGTGTCGAATAGAATGATTAGACTGCCTTTGATGGTAGATAATATGTACATTTTTAAAATGACGTTTAAATTGCATTTCTTGTATTTTCTTAATCATCTTCAGGAGGATTCAACAAATTCCAGTCCGAGTATCCAGAACATTGTGAGACCAATCTGGACTGCTCGTGCCCCAGCAGCTCCCCGCCGACCTCGGTCTTGGGCCTGGGCGGACTCCGCATCAGCTCTGACTGTTCGGACGGAGAGTCCGACCGAGAGCCGAGCAGCGCCACGGAGTCGGAGGGCAGCCCGCTCCCCAACAACCAGCCCGCCTTCCCCGTCCAGATCCTGCCGTACCTTTACCTGGGCTGTGCCAAAGACTCTGCAAACCTGGATGTGCTCAGCAAGTACAACATCAAGTACATCCTGAACGTCACGCCCAACCTGCCCAACATGTTCGAGCATGAGGGAGACTTCAAGTACAAACAGATCCCCATCTCCGATCACTGGAGCCAGAACCTCTCGCAGTTTTTTCCTGAGGCCATTTCATTTATTGGTAAGTGGAGGCAGCATGTCCAAAATATAGAAAGGTTGAGTTAAAATTGACCAGAGGAATGTCAATTTTTCTACTTAAAATAGTTAATACTGAGAGGTGAAGTCACTACCAACTCAAAATTTAAGAACGAAAACAAGCTGTGAGTTTTGTTTTTCACCCTGTTTTGGTTTGACTGTCTGATTTAGTGAGCAGTTCTGATTTGCAGGGCTGAACTACGTCAGAGTCTGAGCTCAAAGAGGAATAAATCCAGGCACCTTATCTTTATTTCTCTCCAGCTCTAATGTTACATCATGCCTCTTTCAGGGGACTTTGAAAACAAAAGTCATATATTTTTTTTAAGATGCTCATTTTTGCCTTGTTGCAGAACAACCAAATACACCCAATTTAATATTTATTTACTTATTCAGAGTAAAAATTTGGTGTTTAATGCTATCATTTTTTAGAATGCATTCATCTTCATTGTCCAAAATTAATCCACAAAAGTTTAAATGTTTCTCTCTGAAAAACATAGATAGAAGAAAAATGCAGCCACCATGGATTCTAATACTCTCAGCTGAAGAATCTTCTCTTTGGTCTTATAATAAACTGTTAAAACTGACTTGTGACAGTAAATTTACACATACATGGATTCATGCCAACCACTTATTGATGAATTATAGACCACAGAAATGCACTTTGTTGTGCTTAACTTTCCTGGTGGTATTTTACATAAAATAAAATACCACAACCTTTGGTCAGCTCAAGCATCTCAGCCACTAAAATTACACACCAAGTTGTTTAGCTTTGATAAAATATATTACTGACATGCAGAATGCGCTTGCATGCATTTTCCTGAAAGTTTATATCCTACAAAATTATGCACCCAAATAGAGCTTTGCAACTGTGAAACTGCAAACATTGATTTTGCAGTGATCATTAAAATTCAATATATTGTGCAGCTCTAGCTTTACGGAATTTTTGCCAATGAATATTTTAAAATCCTAAGACGTTCAGCCAGGATAAGCATAGAATAAAAACCAATGGAGCATGGATGAAAAATTTTATTTCCACATTTTGTTCCTAGTTTCTTTAAGGTATTTATTCATACCTTTATCCAGCTGTCTGGCCATCCATTTATCTGCCCATTGTTCCATTTTTTATTCATCCAAGTCCATGCATCTATCCCTTTCTACCCATACATTTGTGTTTTTCACATGTTCTGAATTTAAAGCCAAACTTTTGTAAATTAGCAGCAAACTCTAGAAATTCAAGAAATTACTGTATTTTGCAATGGGACATCTTCAAGAAGCACAACTTTTCCTTTTTGTTCTTTAGGCTTAATAATCTCTCGTGAGTTTTGGATTACTTCTAAATGATAAGGTTATCTTTTTTACCTAAATATATTCTTTAGAAGTTGTGGTGAGTGTAAGAAAAAAAAAAGGTTTTGTTGCTTTTGTTATTAAATTACTTTCCATGAGAAGCTTTGTCATCCATGAGGTCGTAAATAAAACATTGATTCTTTGAGAACAGAATCATAATCGTGACTTTTCCGCTCATCTGGTTTGGTTTTCTGCCTTTCCTGTCATGTTTTTTTTTTTTTTTTTTTTTTTTGTTTATTCTCTGGGAATGAATGAATTTCCTCTGCAGGGCAGGGTTTTTATACTAATAAATCTCCTTAGGTGGAAGTAAGTGTGACATACGCCAGACCAGGAGGTCGTGGCAGATTCGGGTCATGCTGATGTTCGACGGAGCTGTCCGCCCAGCTGTGATATGCAGAGATTACATCAGATCCTCCTGGTTGTAGAAGGGGAATTAAGGAGACACGGATGTGTCAGCAATCTGCTGCCAGAAAGTTGGAAATGCCTTGAATAACAAAAACATGTTGTTGGATGTTTATGCAAGGACTTAGGAAGAGACGGGAGTTTGTTAGTGTGGTAGTTAAGCATCTTGATAATGGGAGGATTTCTGCGTTGTTGTGGTTCTAAAGCAGCAGTAATGCAGCTCAGCTCTCAGATCAGTTCCAGGAGATTAACCACTGGTTATTTATTCTACATCTGAGCTGTCTGGAGCTTGGATAAATTCTCCTGACGGTGATTTTACACCCATCTCCCTCCTTTTTATTTATTTTTTTTTTGTCGTTGTGGAATGCGAGCATACATCACATACAAATTTAATTTAGCATCAGCGCGGGTGCCTGAGATCGCGAGCCAACTGACCTCAATCCTGCAACAAGGGAAGCAGCCAGAGAGAGCGAGAAGAGGCTGAAAGAAAGGAAGGAAAGAAGCACTTAACTCTCGCTCTAATGGCCTTTGGATGTGAGTGGAAGGGCTCGAAACCGATAGGTAGATGGGTGCAGCCGCTTAATAATGTAGGAGACTGTTTTATTCACAGTTTGCTTCAGACAGAGAGCTGGAAGGGAACTCGTGTTCTACGCTGTCATTGAGAAAAAAAAACAGTTGAGAGCCGTGTCATTTAGACGTAACGTATAAAAAATAATTAGTATGTGAATAAGTCATTTAAAAATGACATATTTTTGTTCTCAGTGTTTTCCTCTAATGCATCGTAACAAAGATGTTTCTAATAAGGAGACGTAACAGTCGTACATTAACCCCAAAAATCCACGAACTGCGGACAGAAAAACATTACAAACTCAGTCTGTAACTACATTTATTTGATCTAATGAATGCTGGTAAAGTTTTAAAGTAAATAGCCAAAATAAATAAGGAGTAGAATAGATAATCATTTTTGTTTATATTTATGAATATTTGTCATTATTGATTGATAAATTAATGTTTTGGTTTATTTGAGCTCAATAAACCTCCAGATTATTAAGTAGTCACCATCCAATGATTCTACAAACTTTTTTAATTTAACCACTTAAGCCATCTTATACAATGTAAAATAAAAATACATTAAAATATGCAAATAAATGTTTTTTTTATTAGAAAATCAACATTTTATTGTCTAAAATGCCAAAACAGCATTCTATGATTGTGCACTTCATCATTTGTCACATCTGTGGAAAAAATGCTTCTAACTTCAACATGTGAAAAAGTTCAGCCCTTTTGCTGGACTCATCATCAATACAGTGTAGCTCTAATGTGTTGATGAACTGATTGATTGGATATCAAAAAGTGCTTAGTAGATGTTTTGCAGAAATTGAACCAAGTGAAGCTAAAACTTTTTCAAGTGTTTATATTATTTGTAAATTTTTACTGCCCTTAATATGTCATTTGAGTCAGAATACTCCAGTTAATTAATTCATCGCTAAATTAGTCGATTATTTTAATTATTGATTAATTTGATTAAGCGTTCCCGCCCTAATTGTTTGCATTTTAATGTATCAAAGTAAATCCTGAGTTTCAAGGTAATCTTACAATTTCTTTGTATTCTCTATTCTCTCGCCCTCTCCAGACGAGGCTCGTTCCAAAAAGTGCGGCATCCTGGTTCACTGCTTGGCCGGGATCAGCCGTTCGGTCACCGTCACCGTGGCCTACCTGATGCAAAAGCTCAACCTGTCGCTCAACGACGCCTACGACTTCGTCAAGCGGAAAAAGTCCAACATTTCCCCCAACTTCAACTTCATGGGCCAGCTCCTGGACTTTGAGCGGACGCTGGGCCTCAACAGCCCCTGCGACAACCGCGCCACTTCCCCGCAGCACGACCAGCTCTTCTTCACCACCCCCACCAATCACAACGTGTTTCAGCTGGACACACTGGAGTCCACTTGAGAGTATGACTTAAGACTGTCCCAACCCCCTCTCTTTTTTTAAGAGGCAGGAGGTAACGAGCGGCTGCAGTGGGAGGAAAGCAGCCGGTTTTACTGAGGCTCCTGCTCCAAGAGCCTGGCCACAGAGCTGCTCTGGAGCGACCGGAGGGTCACTGAAGCCAAGTTTAAGAAGATGTGAGAGGAGTTTCTTTAACCCAGAGCAGTGGACTGTGGGATTACACCTGAGCTGTCAAGGCTCGACTAAGTTGACTCAAGGACCGCAGCAGAACTGACAGCTTAATACAAAGAAAGGAACATGGAGGATCCACAGAGACGACGGCATTGTCATGCTGAGCTTGTTGGCGTCTTGTGGAGAATCTGGGATTTATTTGCTCTACTAAATGTAGAGTGTTTCTTTAAAACCAAGGAATTAACACACACACACACACACTTAAAAAAAGTATGTAAGTTTGTACTGTATGTAACGTAAACAGCAGAACATGTATGAGAAGTCCTTAACAAATTCAATATGTCTATATGCATTTTTGTATATTTTTATGTACATTTACGCACAGATCTGTATGTTTATATAATGATATATTCTTTATCTTTGTCCAAAAACAAAGTGATTCAATCTGAAAATGGCTTAAGAGATTGTAAAACTAAAGAAAGGGAAGAGTTGTTGGAGTTTTTTGTTTTGTTTTTTTTTCCGACTTGTTTTTAATTTTTAATGACACAATGCAGTTTGCACAGTGGTGTAGCCAACATAGATGTGCTGGCACTTGATAAAGAGACATTCAGAGAGGAGGAAGAGCAGACAGAGGAGAGGCCAGTCCCAGGCTGCGACGAGTCCGGACAGCTGTGCAGTGCAGTGGGGAGGGAACGGGGACCCGGAGTCCCGGACTGAGGTCAGGGGTCTGGGTGAAGGTTAGGAGTTGGCTTTGCCCTCCTTCCCTCCCCATTCCGCTGCTCACTCAGCTGCCAATGAGGAGCCGCTGGGTTGTGTCCACCAGCTTAGTCGTTTCATCGAGAAAAACCAAACTCTTGAACTTTTTTCCGTTATTGCATCACAAGCTTGTTTTGCCAAACTGGTCTCTGCCTGCTCAGACTCTCGTGTGTTTTTTTCTTTTTGGAAACTTCCCTCAGAGCAAAAGGAGGAAGTGATTAACGGTTCAGAGCAACTTTTTCGGGCACCTTATCTGAGCGGTCTCGCTTTTGCCAAAAAGGACACCAGGAAGAGGGACGGCGGGGGCGGAATCTGGTGTTTGTGCTGTGGACTGGGACCGGCCTCAGAGACAGACTGCACTGACTGTCCCGTCACGACATTAAGGGTCAGCAGAGGAAAACGCTCTTAGTAAGGATCACCCAATTTATTACAGATAGTTTTAAGCCTTGGCTGTATCACCAGAGAGATATATTAATAGTGGAAAGGGAATTTATATAATACTGGTATTAAACAAATGGATCTTATTTTGTATACCTGAGCATGCTGTGGTGCTGTGTGCTCTCTAACAGTCTTTGTAACAAAGGATTGGATGTTGCTTTAAAACGTGGGAGGACTTTTTGTTTTCAAAGTATAAATGATTTTCTGGGACAACATGCACATCTGCTGCGCTTAAAATAAAGAACAACTGAGAATTAAGAAAAAATCCCAACAAATGGCTCTATTCTGCTCCTTTACTGGCAAATTATTTCCTTCATTCCTTGAGTCAATTTGGACACAAGATAACATCTTAGCATACACCATGCCACTCAGATTAAGGTTTTAATATCTTAAGATTTAGACCAAAAGAAAGGAAATAAAGCAGCTATTTCTGCTCTAGCTTTTAATCTACCAAATGCCACACAGCTAGGTTTATTTGACCAAGCGAAAAAATAGGCTGTGTAATCATGGAGTCGTTTTTAATCGCACGCAAAGCTGGAAGCCAAATAATCAGAGCTAAAACAAGGCAGTCGTCAGATTTTAAAAGCTAAAAGTAGGCAGGAAACGTTTGATTGACTAATACTTCCTTTATTCTGGAGATGCATCAATCAAGCTTTTCTGACTTCTTTAAGGTGAAACCTTAATACCAATTGTGACCAACGAAGTCTTTCTTTCAGTAGTCTATTGGGTATCATTCTTCAGTTGTTTTCTTGACTCTTTCTTTCGTCTGGGCTTTTATATTCCTTTGCGGAAAGTGAATCACTACCAAAAATGAGGTTTCAAATTGCTGAGCAGAGCCATTAAAAAAAAAAAGTATCCTCTTCAACTCTGGCCTGACCAAATTGGTGCATCTCTTTTCATTTAGCTGATGATTTAAAGTGAATTTTCAAAAAAATAAAGTACAGGATGTTCAAGTCCAAAGTGATTCTCTCATAAATCAGGAAAATTTTTTCATGAAGCCCAGCGTCTATCAGTAACTGATGGTCAAAGAGCAGATGTGGACGGGGTCTAAACAGAAATAAAGCTCCGGGTCTCTGTGGGAAGCAGCATTTGGATCTCCTCGTTGGTTTAAAGCTGGCCTTATATAACCTTTCTAACGCTGACTGTTCAATACTCTTGTAATCACACTTATTAAAAAACATTTCTCTGTTTTTGTTTTTTTTTAATAGGAATACTGTAAAATTAGAGAGGCACGCTGCCTTCGTACCATAACGGGTCACACGAGGTCCTCTTTGTTACTCTGCAGTATATCAGAAAACCTTGTTTTGCAGGATTTTGTACATCTAAGACCTCGATGTTTTTAAATTCCTCTCCTTTTCTACAATATCTGCTCCGTGTTACCGTTCAGGATCCAGCAGGATTATGAGCTTTTGGACTGAAACACCATTTCACCTGGAGCAAATGTGTCCATCATCAGAGGCCATTGCAGACACACACACACACACACACACACACACACACACACACACACACCCCCACACACACACACACCACACACACACACACACACACCCACACACATACACACGCCTACACACCCAAAGCTTTACACAGCTTGAGCTGTGCTTCAGCATGCCAGTATTTGTCTCAACACCCGGCTTAAATAATTACAAATGTTTTCTTTTTCCTCATATTTTGATATAATGTGCTCTATGCTATTCCTGTGGCCTTTCAATATGAATATACTGTATAATCTCAGTATATGTATACATTTTGAATTTATATGCAAAGTTGATCTCATATTACGAAAACAATATGATCGAGGTTTCTTGTTTGGATTCATATCCCATTTACAATAAAACGGTGAGCAGCGAGAACTTGATCATTTGCACCCGAGGACAGGAATATTTCAAGGCGCAGCTTTTCTATTTAAAGAGAACACGGTTTATTTCGAGCTGCTTTCTTCTGGGTGGTGTTTTTTGTTGTTGTTGTTGTTTTCTGTTTTGTGTGTGTGTTTGTGTCTTTCTAACATCAAAAGAGAAATCGAGTCATTTTCTCTGTTTGTAAATTTCCCAGATCACGGGAACGGACGTTTCTGTGCCCTTAAACTTGTAGCTACAGTACATGCGCTCGAGAGAGGAAGGTTGTGTAAAAAATCGAGAGCAGATAGAGGAGCGGGAGGAGGCAGTGCCACGATAAAACAAAATGACAGGAGGAGTGAATGATTTGATGTTACCTCAGTGAGGAATTCTTCAGGGATATTGTTTTTTTTTTGTTTTCTTTTTTGACAATGCATCTTGCATCGTGTTACAGCTTAAAAGTCACGTGGAATAGCTGTTTTATTTTGTGCTGTAAACGTTTCTTTTTTTGTTTTTTTTTTTTAAATAATGATTTAAAAAAAAAAATGCAATCTGTCTCTGTAGAAAAAGGACGGGCATGTTAACCAGGGCGGTCACCCTTCTGTCTACTGAGAGAAAAGTATTGTACAGTGTATGGAAGCAACTCAAGACATGTTTATACAACAAATAAATCTTGAAATATTTTTTTCTTTAACGCTTGTTCCTGTTATTTCTGACCACCAGGTTTTTGTTAAAATATTTAATCACTCATAAGATTTTATATGGCTTTCCAAACTCTACAACACATGAAAAAAGCCTGTAAATATTATTTTACTAATCAAAGCAGATTTTATCTGGATGCTGCCAAATTAGATGAATATGAAGAGATTCAGTATGATTTAATATGAAAAAGTATTCACCAAATGCAGAGAGAGCTATTTATTCATATCTTAGAAATGTGTTAATGGGTTTTATCTTTACATTTGGGCACAAATGGCCATTTAAGGACATTCATGATCTTGATATGGCCCAAAATAAAAATTAGTTTGACACCCCTGGCGTATGTGAACAGTAAATGATGGCAGTGAGGAAGTAAGGAGAAGAAAAAGAGCTTCCAAAGACGCCATGATGAGATGAGCTGACTATAAATATCTCTGCTCTTCCCTCCTCGTCTCTTCCAGCGATGCCCTCTCACTTCTTCTTCCCACTACAATTGCTCGGCTTCGCCTTGGCAGAGATTTCAGCGGTTGCACAACCAAGTGAGCCGTTTAATTCATAGTAAATGAGAGCGGATATTACACTGACAGCGGAGGTGATGTAAAGGAAATTAAAACCCCACCCTGTTTGAGCAGAAAGGACACTAAAAGCTGAAGGATCTGGTCTCCTGGTAGCACAATGTGAGGTTTTCCCACATTCTTATCAGCATAGCATGATCTGAAATAGTTTGAGTTACACTATTTTCATAGTGAGAAAAAAAATCTGATGGCTCATACACAGATTTCAGGCTGGCTGACAAAGAAAGATGCATGATTTACGATGGATTTCCCGCTCTACAAGGTAATCTAGTTGTGGATAATTGCAAAACACTTCAGATGCAATTCAGGTTGGTATGTAGTTGATTTAAAGAGTATAATTATCCAGCTTCTACACAAAAAGACCGCATGTCAAAACCTATTAAGCTTAAAGGGCCTTATTATGAAAATAATTGGATCTAATTACCTGAGAGCACCTTTAGAGACTTGTGGGGACAATCTATTTATAAGTGAAACTTTAAAGGTTGTAGACAACTGGGAGCGCGTAAAATTAAAACCAAATATTAACAAACACTGTATAAAAAACCACACACTCTTTTTCTAACTGTGTCACAAAGTAGATCTAAACTTCTGACATTTATGATGACCAAAATGATTTTGTTTGCTACAGGGCAAGACAATAAACAAAATTATGTTTCAGATTTTTTGTTTTTATCAAGATAGTTGCATACATTTCCTTTTGTATGGTAGAATTGCCTTTCAATCTATATAACTTTGATCAAGTGTTTTGGGTTTTCTTCCACATCTTTTCACAGTAGTGATAAAACTGATCAAACTGAGTTTATAATAACTCACCTCAATCTCATTAAACTTTTCCCTCTGACCACTTTGTGATGGTCACTCCCCATTTACAATCTGCCATCACATTTCTTTCTAAAAATGTCTCCCAAATTGAGCAATTTTTCTCAGGTGAACCTTGGCATTCATTGATGAGGAATGTGTGAAGCATTAGTTAGAACCATTTAGAACTGAATTTCATGATATAAAGCTCTGGAGAAAATTAAGAGCCCACTGCACTGAACCCCACTGGAAACCTCCTGGCTATTCCACCAAATACTGATTCCTGAACTCTTCCTCAGTTAAAACATTAGTATTGCTGTTTCTGACTGAGTGTCAACTAGTTTTCTTTGTGTTATCTCGGGTCTGAAACCACTGCATCCTTTTTGTTATTTTGACCATTTCTCATTTTCTGCAAATATATACAAACGTTTTGCTTGAAATTTCAGACATGTTGATAATAGTTCATAGAATAAAAGAGCAATGTTCATTTTAATCAAACATACGCCTATAAATGTAAAATCAGAGGAACTGATCATTTTAATTTTTCCCAGATCTGTACTGATGTGACATGTTGTGCAGCATTTCATTTTGGATGTGCAAGAATGACTTACTTTGAGAGCCACAGCACTGACATTTATTCGCAGCTGAAACATGTTTTTTAGTTTGTACTAATTAGATAGAGAAATGCACCGGCTGTTGTGTTAACGTTAAGACTGATGTGAGAGATGTACCAGAGCACCTGATAATTAAACTGTAAAAGTTCATTCTAATACCTTTTCAATGCATGTTGTTATGTACTTGTTAGTGCTGGCATTGCAAAAAAAAAACAAAAAACTTAATGTTCATTAAAGTTTAATAAGTCTGAAAAAGTTGAAAGATATCATTTAAAGTTATATATATATATATATATATACACACTTTGGAGAAAAAAAAAACACCCACTCAAGTTAGTGGCAGTTTTCAAATACTGATTGCACAAAATATTAAAACTTGTCTAATAAAAATTTAGAACACCCTCCCATTAATAGGACTGATGAGTGATGCTCCTCTAGTTTTAACGCCATGTCTGTGCATGTTTGCAACAACTGGAAATATTTCCAAACTGACATTTTCTCTGTGTTGTAACCATGGGAAAAGAGTAGCCGTCTTCCTCCAGCCAATTACTCACGAGCAGGGTTAAGCAACATGTGGGGGAGGGTGTAGCTCACTGTTCTGGGACCCATGAGAAAACTCCAGACAACCTCTCTAGAACTATTCCATAAAACCTGTAAACCAGAGCAGTTCAACAATTTTATTTATTTATTTTGCTATTTTCAACTTCTAAAAACATCAATTTAAGTCTTTTAAAGTATTATTTTATGTAAAGGAATGGTACTAATGGGGAAAATAAGCTAAGATACCACATTTATGAAAACTTGACGGCATTTCTTAAGCTGTTTTGAGACTCATGGCTCCGTTTGGAGCAGCTGTAAAGAGCAAACCTGCCAGCTGCTGAACCACAGTGAGTTTTCTAGAAAGAAACGTTGAGGAAAAGAAATCACTGACATCTCATCAGCACGCAGCGCCGCTGCCGAAACAGTAAAAGCGCCATGAAATCTCATTTCAGGAGTAAATGCATGTCTTGGTTGTGTAGAGCAACTTTTCTGAGGTTAGGCGTAATCAAATTGGAAGGAAGATCAGTTTTCTTTCAGACTATGATCTCAGCTGCTAATGTGTACTGAAGGATGTGTGTGACTGTGGGCACCGGATGTCTTTATGTACGCAAGAGCAGCCATGTGAGAGTTTTTGACTTTGACCTTGTTCTTGAACAGCAAACAAATTCAGGTTTTCTATTTGTTTGTTCCCTAAATCAGCAGAGGCCAGTGGAAATTTTTTTGTTGTTGCTGTTTTTCTTGTTAATAAATTCAGATTAATAATCCTAATTCAGGTGTCTAACAAGGCAAAATGATTTTAAATATATTAGTTTTCTTCATCCACTCTCTCGCCGTTAATCTTTCTAAGCCGTCTCTGAAACCTCCTCCGTTTTCTTTAATTCATTTATGCTTTGGTGTCTCTTTCACTTAATCCCGATATCACTTCTTCCTCTCCTTCCTCTTCCTCCTCTCTGCTGTAAGTTGAGTTGGACAGGGCGAGGGTCAGGTGCTTACCGTTCCAAGAAAGTGCGTCACACATCCGCTCAGAAGTTAAAGGTTAACAGCAGCGACTGATTACCGCACTACGTGACCATCGACTCGCAAACATGTCTCTGGAGAGTGATAATGAAGACCAATAAATTGGGGTTTTAGTAACAAAAAATTATAACATTTTGGTAAAAATGCTCTAGAAAGAGACACTATTTAATCTAAAATAAAAATAAACAAAACTGTAAAACTGTACCTTTTTTAGCAATAAAGAAGAGATGATACAATCAAAACGTGATATCATCCTCTGTCTTCTTTTTAGAATAAGGGAAAAGAAAACCAACGTAGTAGAATAAGAATAAGATAATATGTCATTATGTGACTATTTAGTCAACTTATAGCTCTCCTCTCAAACTGATTGTGTCTTAAGGTAATTCAGACTTTTAGTTTGCAAATGTGACCAAACTAAATGTCACTAAGAGTTGAGTTTAAAAGTCCTTTTGCTTTCATAGAGATCAGAGTGACATCAATTAAAAATATCAATATTTTTGACAAGACATGAAAAAACATTAACCCTGGAAACTCCAAAAAAAGAAAAAAGCCTAAATAGCTATAAATCAGCTTTGCTTTTTAGAAATATGGCATTTCCATTTTGTTTGAGTAGAGGAAATAAGTTAATAAAGGAAAGTGGAGTTATATGAGAGTTTATGTCTATTGGCTCCTTTTTAGACAATAAACTGATAAAATTCAGAGGAGATTGAAGATTTATCAATTTATGTTATTTATTTAGCAAAATCTCCTTTGTTGTCTAAATCAACTTATTCTAATTGATTTAAAAATCACTAAATGAATTTAGTTCTTTGGGCAACTTATTTTTAAAACAAATATCGCAACATGGCTTGGCTTTAGTGAGTAAAATCTAAATTCAAGAGTCCGGAGAGGTTTTTCATGATGCATGTTTGATAAAAACCAAATTGAATTTGGCATTTAATTTCCCTTTGGGATCAACACAGTTTTTTTTTTTATTTGAATTGTTAAGAATGGATGTGGAAGATAGTATTTAGGTTCACTTTAGTTACCACAGGTCAGTGATGTCCAAAGTTATTCCTCAAGATCAGATGTCCTTCATGTTTTAGATGATTCATCACACCTAAAGCAAAAGCTGGGCGATAAAGAGAAACGTTTCACAGCTGAAACTTGTCTAAATCAAAGCCAGTAAAACAAATTTCAAAACTTCAGACCTAACTGATTCAGAACTGAAATAAGATTTATTACAGTTTTTTTTCCACAAAGGACTTGAAAGAATCATTTTAGGAATTTTAGCAATTTAAAGCTTGGAATTGCATGATTTTTGTGCTATAAATGTCTCACATCTCCTTAAATGCATTTTTAACATTTTCCAGCTATGCTATTCAGAGAAATAGAAATTGTCATCTATGAATCCCACTTTAACTCTGTCGGCATAAATATCCATTCATCACCCCCCCCCATAAGAAGCAGCT